CCGAATTTTTCCCTCAGGAAGACACCATCTCCATCAACCACAACTGGGTCAGCAGCTGCATTTTGGGAATTAGAGACATTCTGGTTTCTTCAGGAATAGGATTTTTGGAGCAGCACATTTAATATTATCATCCCTAATCACTTAATTAGTGACTAATTACTAATTATCCCTGGATTATCCCAAATTTTTCCCTCAGGAAGACACCATCTCCATCAACCACAACTGGGTCAACGGCTGCAACGTGGCCGTCATGTGGTGCTTCCTGCAGGATGAGCTGGCGGCCGTCCAGAGGGAAATCAGCCAATGGAAAGATCCCATGGACGATTGGCACCTCCAGTGCCAGGTACACCCCGATCCTGGATTATCCAGGCAGCCGGAATTCCGGGATTATTGCAGCCGAAGTTCCGACAGAGGAATTTCTGTGTTTTTTAAAGAAGTGGGAGTTTGGGACAAGCTTTGTTTTGTTGGGAAATATTCCCTGTAAAAGTTTGGGAATGTTCCCTGTAAAAGTTTGGGAATTGCTTCTGGTTATTGGCTGTGTGTCCAGGTTGGAATGTTGGTTGGAAAGATGGAAAATTTCAGGATCAAGAGAGCTGGAAATGTTCACCTGGAGAAGGGAAAATTCCAGAGAGAGACCTCAGAGCCCCTTCCAGAGCCTAAAGAAGCTCCAGAAAAGCTGGAGAGGGATTTGGGATAAACATGGAATGACAGGACACAGGGAATGGCTTCCCACTTAATTTCAGTGGGATATTGGGAAGGAATTCCTGGCTGAGATAGAATTCCCTGAGAAGCTGTGGCTGCCCCTGGATCCCTGGAGCTGGGAAAGAATCCAAAAGACCAAACTCCATAATCCAACCAAAATTCCATGAGGAAGAGGATTCCTTCCAAAATCTTCTGTCTGAACCAAATTCCAAGTTTATTTCGGGAAGCTGTCGCCTCTCCTTGGGTTGATTTCCTTCCAAAAATGAATATTTGGGAAAATTCCCAAAATTATATTTGGGAAAAGCAACCTGGTGCCTTTGACTCCAGAAGCAATTCCAATGAAAAAAAATATTAAATATTATTATTTATGATTCCAAAGAATTCGTAGCTTCGTAAAATTCCAATTTTAGGGATTTTTCTTGGATTTTTTTCCCATTTTCATTCCGTTTCCCCCCTTTAGCTGATCATGAAATCCTGCACGGGCATCGACTACAAGGAATTCTACAACTTCCTCAAAGTCATTGCGGAAAACCGGATTTCCATCCTGGAGAAGGGCCTGGACGAGGAATCCTCATCCCAGAACAATTCCAAAGCCGCCATTTCCACCTTGGGAATGCTGCACGCCGTGTTCGACCTGAAGAGGACGGTGAAGGTGCTGAGCTCGTTAAGCGCTAACGAGGATTTCCGGAAGCTGGATCTGACTTCCCTGTCTCCTTCTCCAGAGGCTCTGCTCCAGCACCTGGAATCCGCCATCGACACGGCCCTGCTCTGAATTCCCCTTTTCCCAAGATTTTTTCCAAAGGGTTTGGAGGAAACAGACTTGGAGAAGAACTTTACTCCAGTGGGAAGAGGGAGAACATTTGGGAAGGAGGGAGAACATTCCCAAAGCGCTGAGTGGTTTGGAGGAATTAGGGAAAAAACCCTCCCAGCCAAAGGAAAATCCCAAACTTCCTCAGGATTCTGTACAGGTACTCAGGGAAGAAATTCCCTATGGATCATCTGGCATTGGAATGAAGCAAATTCCCTGTGCTTAAGCTCAGCTTTGTTAAAACCTCTCCTACTTCCAGCTGCAGCTCAGCTTTTCCATAGTTTTTTTTTAGGGAATTCCAGCTGGTGAGTTCCATGGAAGCCTGAGCTGGAGCCAGCACCTGGAATCTGCCATAGACACAGCCCTGCTTGGAATTCCCACTTTTCCAAGCTTTTTTCCAAAGGGTTTGGAGGAAACGGACTTGGACAAGAACTTTACTCCAGCAGGAAGAGGGAGAACCTTTGGGAAGGAGGGAGAACATTCCCAAAGCGCTGAGTGGTTTGGAGGAATTAGGGAAAAAGCCATCCCAGCCAAAGGAAAATCCCGAACTTCCTTAGGATTGTGAGCATCACTCAGGGAAAACATTCCCTATGGATCATCTGGTGTTGGAATGAAGCAAATTCCCTGTGCTTAAGCTCAGCTTTGTTAAAACCTCTCCTACTTCCAGCTGCAGCTCAGCTTTTCCATAGTTTTTTTTAGGGAATTCCAGCAGGTGAATTCCGTGGAAGCCTGAGCTAGAGCCTGGATTTGGGAATGTTGATTCCCTGTCTTCCAAAGTGGGATTTCCAAAGCTGAGACGCTCAGGATTAAATTTAATTCAACTCCGAGCAAAACCTGCCTTGACTCATCCCAATAAAAAGCAGGAATGGGAATGTGCTCCCAAAATTGCACGCTCTATCCCAAGGCCCAGAATTCCCTCCAGGAAAAGTTCTGAGTGGTTTGGAGGAATTAGGAAAAAAAAAATAACCATCCTAGATAAAGGAAAATCCCAAATTTTTTAGGATTCTGAGCAGGCACTCAGGGAAAAAATTCCTTGTGGAATTTTTTGTGGAACCAGCACCTCCCGCACGCTTCCACAGCACAATTCCCACCTAGAATATTCCCAATGGAACATCCCCCTCCTGCTTTTCCTTGGAAAAATCAAAAACCTGGAAGCACAAATGGCTGCACACTGTTACCTTCAGGCCTTGCTTGAATTCTTCCCAAAAATAAAACTGAGAAAAACTTGGAATTTCAGGAAGTTTTAGGAAGTCAAACTGAAAATCCACCTCGTTTTCCTTGAATTCCTTGGAATTTTTAACCCCCCCCTCCCCCCCTGCACTTTGCATGTCCTTTTCCAGTAGGAATTTTGCATTTTTTTTCTTCATGCCCAAAAATATCAAGGAGCCTTTTTTCCTTAATTTAGGAAATTCCCGGATTCTTGAAGATGACAAAGATTGGAATAAGGAGCATGCGGAGCCTGGAATCTTCAAAATTCCAAGAGTTTTATTTAAATAAAAATTCCTGGCAAACTTCCAGTGAGATTCTCTCGTTAATATATTAATTCTTAATTAGTTAATATAGCAATTAATCTGTTATTTATTAAAAGATAAAATATAGGAGAAATGGGAGGAAGAAACCTGGGGGGATTTTGTTTTCCCAGAGTCACCTGGATAAGGCAAAAAAATTCCTGGGAAAAATGACAAAAATCCCATTTATTTAAAGCTTTGGACTTCCAATTTGTCCTTCCCAAAAATATCAAGGATCCAATTTTCCTTCATTTAGAAAATTCTCAAATTCCTGAAAAAAAAAGAAGATTGGAAGAAGGAGCGTGTGGATCCTGGAATTTCTTCAAAATTCCAAGAGTTTTATTTAAATAAAAATTCCTGGCAATCTTCCCATGGGATTCTCTCATTAATATATTAATTCTTGTAATTATTCTGTTATTCATTAAATTAAAAAATTCGGGAGAAAATGGGAGGAAAAAACCTGGTGGGTTTTGTTTTCCCAGAGTCACCTGGATAAGGCCAAGAATTCCTGGGAAAAATGAAGAAATCCCAAGGGAAAAACAACAAAAATCCCAATTTTTGAAAGCATTGGATCTCCAATTCTTCATTTCCAAAAATATCAAGGAGCACTTTCCTTAATTTAGAAAATTGGGAAAACTTGGGAAAAACAGCTGGGAAAAGCTTGGGGAGATCTATTTTCCTGGATAAGAAAAAAAAAATTCCCAGGAAATATAAAAAAAAAAAAAAAAAAACAAAAAACAGGATAAAAATGTTAAAAATAAGATTTTTTTAGGCTATTTTTAACTTATTTTGGAATGTTGGGAACAGCATCCCAAATATCCATTGGGAATATCCCAAATATTTTTTTTCCAAAGGGAAATTCCAGCTTGGAGCACAAATCACGTCTGGGGTTGGCAAAGCACAAATCCAGCTGGGATTGGAGTTTTTATTCCATGATTTCTCTTAGTTTTCCCAGAATTTCCCAAAATCCAGAAAAAATCCATGTTTTTTTCCAAGCCCCCCAGAATTCCAAAGAAACACGGGATTATCCAAGGTGTGGGATCACCCCTGAGGTCTCCCAAGGATAAATAAAAATCTTGGAGCGTGGGAAAATCAGGAAGTTTGGGAATAGCAGCTTCCAAATGGAATTGGAAAAGTCCTGAGATGGGAAAAGTAGGAAAAGGAGTGGTGAGAAAAATCTCCTCTCATTCCCACAATTTTTAGGAGTTTTGGGATGAGCTCTCCTTCCCAATCCAAGAAATCCCATTAAAAATTGGTTTTTCCCAAAGAAATTCTTTCTTTTTCTGGGAATTCTCCAGTGCAAAAAATAAAAATAAAAAAAACATCCCGAGCAGGAAAAAGGAGATTTTTTCCCGGGAATTATTTGTGGGAAAAGGGGATAAAACTCAAAAAAACCAAAAAACCTTGGAGATGGAAATTCCAGCCCTTCCAGTGTTTTTGGGATCAGGAAAACCTCGGCTGGGGAGGAATTCTTCCCTTTAAGGCAGCCAGGGATACAATTCCCGCTTTTTCCAGTGGGGTTTGATCCGGAAAATTTGGGAAAATTCGTATTTTCCCTATGGATCAGGAGCTGTGGGAGTTTTCCTTTGGATGGAGCTGGATCCTCTGGATGTGTTCATAGCACGACTGGGGAGGGAATAGAGCAAAAATCAGGGAAAAATTTGGGAATTATGGGATCAAATCCAATCTCCTGCAGACAGAAAATCCCTGCTGATCCCAAGGAGAATTCCAACAGAATTCAATCTGTCTGGAATTAAAGATTAGGATTTTTTTCCAGTCTAGCAAGGAAATAAAATCCCAAAAATTCCATTCCAGAAAAGCTGGAATTTTGCTGGAATTCCTGGAAAAAATCCCCTTACCTCCAGTGCCGTCAGCAGGAAGTCCAACATTCCTCCCTGGTTGGTCGGATCCATCAAATCCCGGATCAGATGGATTTCAGCTCCCAGGTGTTGGATCCTAGGGAAAAACAAATCCCAAAATCTTGGAAAAAATCTCTGGGCACAACTTGGGCTGTTCCATCCCAAGAAAATTCCAGATCCATCCATAGGAAATTCCAATTGCTGGGTGGAATTTTGGATTCTTCATCTCCCAGAGGAATCCCAGTTCCTGCTGAGGATGGAAAATTCCTGTAAAAATCCCAGAATTCCAAAATCCCAGAGTGTTTGGGGTTGGAAAGGTCCTTCAAGATGATCCATGGGCAGAGACTTCCCATTATCCCAATTTTCTCTAGGATAAAAGATGGAGACTCTGAAATTCTGGGATAAAATGAATCTCATTTTCCATGAAAAACCTGGAATATCGTCTGGGATAAGACACAGACGGTCTGGCATTCTTGGATTTTCAATGAAATATCATCTGGGATAAGACACAGACACTCAGGAATTCTGGGATAAAAGGAATCACTTTTTCCATTAAAACCCTGGAATTTCTCTGGGATAAGACACAGACATTCTGGAATTCCGAGATAAAAGGAATCTGATTTTCCATGAAATATTGTCTGGGATATAACACGGACACTCCAGAATTCCGCCGGCACTTTATATCCCAAAAACCCAACCGCGCACCTCTGGGGGGGGGATAAAAAACCAACACATCCAACCCCAAATCCCAAAATTTGGAGAATTCTTCCATCTGGAAATATTCCAGAGGGGGAAAGAATTCCACTGACTTGGCTCGGGACACAACGAACATGAGGAGCGGCAGGAGATCATCCATGGGGAGCCGATAGTCGGCGTCCAGCAGCCGCGACACCGTCCGCTCCAGCTCCTCGTAGGTCTTCCTCAGGATCTCCAGCTTCTCCCTGGGATCCACCGTGGTGCTGTCGGGAGAAAAGAGCCGTGGGAAAGCTGCATCCGGAAAAGCAGGATTTAAAAATAAAAATTAAAAATTAAAAATAAAAAAAATTAGGGGTGAAAGGATTTACGGGTTGGCTCCAAAGGGTGGAGGAAAGAGGAAGTGCCGCGGATGGACCAGGAGATGTTCCAGGGTGGAATGGGACATTCCTGGGATCTCCAATATTGGACGGGACATTGCTGGTGTCTCACATATGGAATGGGACATTCCTGGTGTCTCCAAGGTGGAATGAGACATCCCTGGGATCTCCAATATGGAATGGGACATTCCTGGGATCTCCAATATTGGATGAGACATTCCTATCATTTTCCATATGGAATGGGATGTTCCTGGGATCTCCAAGGTGGAATGGGACATTCCTGGGATGTCCAATATTGGATGGGACATTCCTGTCATTTTCCATATGGAATGGGACATTCCTGGTGTCTCCAATATGGAATGGGACATTCCTGTCATTTCCCATAGGGAATGGGGCATTCCTGGGATCTCCAATGTGGAATGGGACATCCCTGGTGTCTCCAAGGTGGAATAGGATATTCCTGGGATCTCCAATATGGGATGGGACATTCCTGTCATTCCCCATATGGAATGGGACGTTCCTGGGATCTCCAAGGTGGAATAGGACATTCCTGGGATCTCCAATATTGGATGGAACATTCCCGGTGTTTCCCTTATGGAATGGGACAATCCTGGTGTCTCCAAGATGGGATGGGGCATTCCTGGTGTCTCCAATAAGGGATGGGACATTCCTGTTGTTTCTCATATGGAATGGGACATTCCTGGGATCTCCAATATGGAATGGGACATTCCTGGTGTCTCCAAGGTGGAATGTGACATTCCTGTTGTTTCTCATGTGGGATGGGCCATTCCTGGGATCTCCAAGGTGGAATGTGACATTCCTGTTGTTTCTCATATGGGATGGGCCATTCCTGGGATCTCCAATATTGGATGGGACATTCCTGCCATTTCCCATAGGGAATGGGACATTCCTGGGATCTCCAAGGTGGAATAAGACATCCCTGGTGTCTCTAATATGGAATGGGACATTCCTGGGATCTCCAATATGGGATGGGACATTCCTGTCATTCCCCATATGGAATGGGATGTTCCTGGTGTCTCCAAGGTGGAATGGGACATTCCTGGGATCTCCAATATTGGATGGGACATTCCCGGTGTTTCCCTTATGGAATGGGACATTCCTGGTGTCTCCAATAAGGGATGTGACATTCCTGTTGTTCCTCATTTGGGATGGGACATTCCTGGGATCTCCAATATTGGATGGGACATTCCTGTCATTTCCCATAGGGAATGGGACATTCCTGGGATCTCCAATGTGGAATGAGACATCCCTGGTGTCTCCAATATGGAATGGGACATTCCTGGAGTCTCCAAGGTGGAATGGAACATTCCTGATATCTCCCATATGGAATGGGATGTTCCTGGGATCTCCAAGGTGGAATGGAACATTCCTGGGATGTCCAATATTGGATGGGACATTCCTGTCATTTTCCATATGGAATGGGACATTCCTGGTGTCTCCAATATGGGATGGGGCATTCCTGTCCATTTTCCCCAGGGTGGAATTCCTGGTATCTCCAAGGTGGATCCCATCCCATGGATGCACTTCCTGGGAGCCTCCATCCCATGGATCCCCTCAAGCTCTCGGGATACTCCTCTGGAGAGATGAACCTCCTGGAGCTCATATGCAGAAGAACGGAATTCCAGGAAATCCCAGCCAAGCCAAATTTGCTCTCCAGCTGAAAACAATGAATTCCCTTTGATCCAAGATTTTGTGTGGAATCATCATTCCAGACTGGTTTGGGGTTGGAAGAGGCTTTAAGGAACATCTCATCCCATTCCATGGGCAGGGACACCTCCCACTATCCCAGGATTCTCCAAGCCCCGTACAACCTTTCCTTGGATATTTCCAGGGATTCAGGGGCAGCCACGGCTTCTCTGGGAATTCCATCCCAGCCCCTCCCCATTCCCACAGGGAAAACTCCTTCCCAAGGTTCTTTTCCAGCTGGAGAAGGAAAGGCAGAGCTGGGGGAAGGCAACTTGAAGGAACGGGAATGTTCCCAGAAAAGCCCATGGATACAAAAGGATCCCAAATCCAACAGGGCCATGGAATAATCCCAACTCAAATCCCAATCCAGGTCTGGCTGCAGGAGCTGTTCCCATGCCATTTTCCATAGGGAGAAACCATGGAATGGTTTGGGTGGGAAGGGACCTTAAGGATCATCCCATTCCATGGCCAAGGACAATTCCCACTGTCCCAGGCTGCTCCAGCCTGGCCTTGGACACTTCCAGGGATCCAGGGGCAGCCACAGCTGCTCTGGGAATTCCAGCCTCTCCCCACCCTCCCAGCCAGGAATTCTTTCACGGGGAATATCAGTGGGAAGTGAAGCTGCTGAGCAGGGAGCTGCTGGATTTCATTATCAATGTCTTCATGGAATTTTGGAGGAAAAGATTCCATGGAATCCACTTTGAATGAGAAAGAATATCCCAAAGAACTTTTCCTTAAATAATGAATGGAATGGCCCAAGAATGCTTTCGAAACAGGTAGAAATTCCTGGCAAATCCCAAAAAAAATCCCTGGATTTCAGTGGGAAGAGCTGGACAGGGACTCACATGAGCTTCTGCAGACACTCGGTGGCAGACAGGAAACATTTATCCTTGATCAGGGAGCGCCTCTGGAAAAGAGACAGGGATACCTTTGGAATACCGGGGGCAGAGGTTCCGGAGTCATCCCACAAAATCTCAGTGGAAATCCACAGGAAGCACCTCTGGATGGGAACTGATCACAGAGCTCGAATTCCTGGGATTCATTTGGAGAAGCTCCATCCTCATCCGAGCCCGATTCCATGTCCCATTGCCATTCCCAGATGTCTCCCAGGGTTTTCCTTACCTGGTTGGAGGTCAGGGTGAGATCTTTGAGAGGCCACAGGTGCCTGGAAAGGGAAAAGTGGGATTTAGGATGGAGTTCCCATCCCATGGATCCACTTCCCTCGGAATCCCATCAGAGTTTGCATTCCTCAGGGATGGTCCTGGGATAATCCATGAGAAATTGTGGCACTTTTGGATCCAATTCCTCTCATTTCTTTTGGACAGAATCCAACTGAGACCCTGGATCTGCTGCACTCCTGAACTCCCAGAGGAAAATTCCCAAGCTGCTTCCCATCACTTCCAGAGGTGGATCCAGCAGTAGGAATGGATAAGGGAAACATCTGCCTCCACTTTTTCCATCTTTTCACTCAGTATTCCCATATTTTAACAGGGAATACCCTGGAATGAACATTCCTTTTCCAAGACATTTATCAATTCTGGATGTTTCGGACCAAAAAATTTGGGAATTATCCACACAAAAATGAGGGTTAGTAGGGATAACAGCAGTTTTCCATTACCAATCCTCCTTCCAGCCAAACGTTCCAGATTAGGAATTTTGGGAGAAAATCCAGTGAAAAAAATGGGAAAAACCAATGATGAATCCAACAACAACTCAACCTTTCTGGAATTTTTCCCTGGGGATGGAAAAATCCCACTTACTTCTGCACATCCAGGAATTCCAGGAGCTGGATATCTGGGAAGAGGCTGAGCTCCACGATTCCCTGGCAGTAGAGCTCGTCCTCCCGCTGGTGCTGGAGCATGTAGAGCATGGAAAGCTCGGGATAGAATCCAGGCAGGATCAGCGGCAGCACCAGGCTGGAGCCCTTCCCGAGACTGGAAAAGAAGGAAAAAAAATCCAGGATTTTCCAAGGAAATCCATGTGGATATTCTCAAACCCATGGAAGAGAGATCTCCCAAGGGGTTCTCCTTGTTTTCTGCTCTTCTGAGCTTGGTGCGGTTGGGTTGTGGTGGCCACAAGTTGGTCTAAGAGGTTCTGGTGCGCCAGGAAATCTCCAGGAAATTCACTGGAAAAACCTGGAGCTCCAGGAGATCTCCAGGAAATTCACTGGGAAAAACCTGGATCTCCCGGAGATTTCCAGGAAATTCACTGGGAAAAACCTGGATCTCCAGGAGATCTCCAGGAAATTCACTGGGAAAAACCTGGAGCTCCAGGAGATCTCCAGGAAATTCACTGGGAAAAACCTGGAGCTCCAGGAGATCTCCAGGAAATTCACTGGGAAAACCTGGATCTCCAGGAGATCTCCAGGAAATTCACTGGGAAAACCTGGAGCTCCAGGAGATCCCCAGGAAATTCACTGGGAGAAGCCTGCAGCTCCAGATTTCCAGAGTCACCAGAAAAAACGGGAGCTACAGGAGGTCTTTGGAATCCCTGGGACAACCTGGATCTCCAGGAGACCTCCAGGAAATTCACTGGGAAAAACCTGGATCTCCAGGAGACCTCCAGGAAATTCACTGGGAAAAACCTGGAGCAGCAGGAGATCTCCAGGAAATTCACTGGGAAAAATCTGGAGCTCCAGGAGATCCCCAGGAAATTCACTGGGAAAAATCTGGAGCTCCAGGAGATCCCCAGGAAATTCACTGGGAAAAACCTGGAGCTACAGGAGGTCTTTGGAATCCCTGGGAAAACCTGGAGCAGCAGGAGATCTCCAGGAAATTCACTGGGAAAACCTGGATCTCCAGGAGATCTCCAGGAAATTCACTGGGAAAAACCTGGAGCTCCAGGAGATCCCCAGGAAATTCACTGGGAAAAATCTGGATCTCCAGGAGATCCCCAGGAAATTCACTCGGAAAAACCTGGAGCTCCAGATTTCCAGACTCACCAGGAAAAACCTGGAGCTACAGGACATCTTTGGAATCCATGGGAAAACCTGGAGCAGCAGAAGATCTCCAGGAAATTCACTGGGAAACACGTGGATCTCCAGGAGATTCCCCAGGAAATTCACTGTGAAAAACCTGGAGCTCCAGATTTCCAGACTCACCAGGAAAAACCTGGATCTCCAGGAGATCTTTGGAATCCCTGGGAAAACCTGGAGCAGCAGGAGATCTCCAGGAAATTCACTGGGAGAAACCTGGAGCTCCAGGAGATCCCCAGGAAATTCACTGGGAGAAACCTGGATCTCCAGGAGATCTCCAGGAAATTCACTGGGAAAAACCTGGAGCTCCAGGAGATCCCCAGGAAATTCACTGGGAAAAATCTGGATCTCCAGGAGATCCCCAGGAAATTCACTCGGAAAAACCTGGAGCTCCAGATTTCCAGACTCACCAGGAAAAACCTGGAGCTACAGGACATCTTTGGAATCCATGGGAAAACCTGGAGCAGCAGAAGATCTCCAGGAAATTCACTGGGAAACACGTGGATCTCCAGGAGATTCCCCAGGAAATTCACTGTGAAAAACCTGGAGCTCCAGATTTCCAGACTCACCAGGAAAAACCTGGATCTCCAGGAGATCTTTGGAATCCCTGGGAAAACCTGGAGCAGCAGATCTCCAGGAAATTCACTGGGAAAAACCTGGATCTCCAGGAGACCTCCAGGAAATTCACTGGGAGAAACCTGGATCTCCAGGAGATCTCCAGGAAAGGAGCTCCAGATTTCCAGAGTCACCAGGGAAAACCTGGAGCTCCAGGAGATCTCCAGGAAATTCACTGGGAAAAACCTGGAGCTACAGGAGGTCTTTGGAATCCCTGGGACATTCTGGAGCAGCAGGAGATCTCCAGGAAATTCACTAGGAAAAACCTGGAGCAGCAGGAGATCTCCAGGAAATTCACTGGGAAAAACCTGGAGCTGCAGGAGATCTCCAGGAAATTCACTGGGAAAAACCTGGAGCTCCAGATTTCCAGAGTCACCAGGAAAAACCTGGAGCTCCAGGAGATCTTTGGAATCCCTGGGACAACCTGGAGCACCAGATCTCCAGGAAATTCACTGGGAAAAACCTGGAGCTCCAGGAGATCTCCAGGAAATTCACTGTGAAAAACCTGGAGCTCCAGATTTCCAGACTTACCAGGAAAAACCTGGAGCTACAGGAGGTCTTTGGAATCCCTGGGACAACCTGGAGTAGCAGGAGATCTCCAGGAAATTCACTGGGAAAAACCTGGATCTCCAGGTGATCTCGAGGAAATTCACTGGGAAAAACCTGGATCTCCAGGTGATCTCCAGGAAATTCACTGGGAAAAACCTGGATCTCCAGGAGATCTCCAGGAAATTCACTGGGAAAAATGTGGAGGTCCAGGAGATCTCCAGGAAATTCACTGGGAGAAACCTGGAGCTCCAGATTTCCAGAGTCACCAGGAAAAACCTGGAGCTCCAGGAGATCTTTGGAGTCCGTGGGAAAACCTGGAGCAGCAGGAGATCTCCAGGAAATTCACTGGGAAAAACCTGGAGCTCCAGATTTCCAGAGTCACCAGGAAAAACCTGGAGCTACAGGAGGTCTTTGGAATCCCTGGGAAAAACCTGGAGCTCCAGATCTCCAGGAAATTTACTGGGAAAAACCTGGAGCTCCAGGATATCTCCAGGAAATTCACTGGGAAAAACCTGGAGCAGCAGGAGATTTCCAGGAAATTCACTGGGAAAAACCTGGAGCTCCAGATTTCCAGACTCACCAGGAAAAACCTGGAGCTACAGGAGGTCTTTGGAATCCCTGGGACAACCTGGAGCAGCAGGAGATCTCCAGGAAATTCACTGGGAAAAACCTGGAGCTCCAGGAGATCTTTGGACTCCCTGGGAAAACCTGGGCACTGAGCCTGGCTCGAGCAGACAAACACGAGCTCAGCACTTCCTGAATTTCGGGGCCCCTCGTAAATCCCACCGGGATCCGAACGCGGAACCTCCGGAGGTGCCACCAACCTGGGATCCGCATCCTCCGAGGGCGCGCGGCCCTTCCGCTCCAGGGCCAGCCGGAGCAAACCCCTGGAGAGCAAAAACAAGGATTAGTTCCTTCCCGGTTTTTTAAGGATAATTTGTTCCCGAAGGAGGAGCTGTCCCAGCATGAGATCAGTGAAAATCCTTGGAATTCCCACAGAGCTGCTGCAGTGTTTGAGGGGTTTCTGCTCAAGCAAATGAGCTTTTTCTGGCTGCAAATTCCAGAATTTCCATGGATTCTAAAGAGCAGAGTGGTCACAATTCCCGATTCCACTCTGGAAAAGCCGCTGGGCTTTGTCTTGATTTCCAAGAGAATCCTGGAATGGTTCGGGTTGGATTTTAGGAAGGAATTCCTGGCTGGGAGGGTGGGGAGGGGCTGGGATGGAATTCCCAGAAAATTTGTGGCTGCCCTTGGATCCCTGGAAGTGCCCAAGGAGAGGTTGGACGGGGCTTGGAGCACCTGGGATAGCGGAAGGGATTTGAGCTGGATGAGATTCCCAACCCAAAGCATTCCATGATCCCATTTTTCCTGCAGTCACGGATTTCCATCCACAGGGATTTGTGCTCTGATTGACACTGTCACCTCAAGGAGGCAACTCTCCCAGGAATTCCCAAAGAACTCCCAAGAATTCCCAAGAACTCCCAAAGAACTCCCAAACAACTCCCAAACAACTCCCAAAGAACTCCCAAAGAACTCCCAAACAACTCCCAAAGAACTCCCAAAGAACTCCCAAAGAACTCCCAAAGAACTACCAAAGAACTCCCAAAGAACTCCCAAAGAAAGAACTCCCAAAGAACTCCCAAAGAACTCCCAAAGAACTCCCAAACAACTCCCAAACAACTCCCAAACAACTCCCAAAGAAAGAACTCCCAAACAACTCCCAAAAACTCCCAAAGAACTTCCAAAGAACTCCCAAAGAAAGAACTCCCAAACAACTCCCAAAGAACTCCCAAAGAACTCCCAAACAACTCCCAAACAACTCCCAAACAACTCCCAAGAACTCCCAAACAACTCCCAAAGAAAGAACTACCAAACAACTCCCAAACAACTCCCAAAGAACTCCCAAAGAACTACCAAACAACTCCCAAAAAACTCCCAAACAACTCCCAAATAACTCCCAAAGAACTCCCAAAGAACTCCCAAAGAACTACCAAAGAACTCCCAAAGAAAGAACTCCCAAAGAACTCCCAAAGAACTCCCAAACAACTCCCAAACAACTCCCAAGAAGTCCCAAAGAACTCCCAAAGAACTCCCAAAAAACTCCCAAAAAACTCCCAAAAAACTCCCAAAAAACTCCCAAAAAATTCCCAAAAAACTCCCAAACAAACAACTCCCAAGAATTCAGGAAGAACTCCCAAGAACTCCCAAGAAAACAGGAACACAAATAAGGCCTGGCTCCTAATCCCACGATCCCAAAGATCCATTCCATGCTCCCATCCCGTGGAAAACCTCCAAGTTGGACTCACTGGTAGAATTCCCAAATTTTCTTGGAGTAAAACTTGACCTCCTCCTGCGCCATGGCCAGCAGGTGCCGGTTGGCTCCGATCCCGGAATACGTTGCCTGGAACGCCACGGTCAGAGCCCTGAGCAGCTTTCCCAAGGGATGCAGGGAAGATTCCAACGCCTGGAGAATCCAATTCCATGGATCAGGAGGAGAGGGAAAGCCCCAAAAGGCACCTGGATTTCTCCCAGAATTCCCAGCTGGAATTTGGGATCTCATGGATGCCATAAATGCTCTCTGCTCCCTTTTCCAGTTGGGATTTGCTGGGATATTCCAGAGGGAATAAAAGGTATTCCAGGGAAAAGTGGGTGAGGGAAAAATAACCTCGCTATTTATTAGATAAATTCTTTATTATTCATTTTTCCATTCTATAAATCCTCTGTTTTTAAAATAAATTTTCTATTTAATATTAAATTCTTTAGTCTTAAATTCTGTATTATTAAAATCTCTATTCTTAAATTCTCTATTACATAAATTCTTTGGTTTTAAATTCTCTATTATATAAATTTTCAATTATTAAATTATTTATTATTAAATTCTCCCTTATTAAATTATCTATTAATTCTCTATTATTAAATCAGCTATTATAGCAACTTCTCTATTATTAAATTCCCAATTTGTTATTTAAATCTCCATCATTAAATTATCTATTTATTATTAAACTATTTATTATTACATGCTTTATTATTAAATTGTCTATTTAATATTAAAGTCTCTATTATTAAATTCTTGATTATTTAATTTACTGATATATATAAATTCTTTATTTAATAGAAGTTCTCTATTTATTATTAAATTCTTTATTAATAAATTCCCTCTTTATAAATTTCTTATTTATTAATAAATTCTTCATTATTAAATCCCCTTTTTATTATATAAATTCTTTACTCATTAGTAAACTTCTTATTTATAATAGAAATTCTTTATTATTAAATTCTCTATTAATAAATTCTTATAATAAGTATGAAATTATTTCTTCTCTATATTCAAATTATTTAATAGTCAATTATTTATTATCATATCCTGGATTTTGATAATTTTATTATTTTTAAATAATTTTTAATAATTTTAATACATAATTTAAATCCTTACCTTCTCCAAATAACTCTGGAGCGCCTTCGGCTCCTGGTGCTGGACGAGCTCTTCCAGGATCTCCTCAATTTTCCATGAAACCTCCTCAGCGCCTCTGGAAAAATGGGAATTGAGGAGGGAAAACCACCCATGGATAAATCCCAACTGGCAAATTCCAAAGGGCCATTAAAATAATTCCAAGAAGTTAATTTTTCATGGATGTGGATTAATCTCAACAGCGAAAATTCCAACTGAGGTAGGAAATTCCTTCTCCTTTTTCCTGAGTGGGAACAACTGGAAAATTCTTGGAATTATACAACACTCTTGGGTGGGAATGAGGGTCTGCATTCCCAACAAGGATTCCTGGGATTCCGTCATTGGCAGAAGAGGAATTCCCAGGATTTCCTCAGGGATTCCCAAGATTTCCTCAGTGCCTTTGGCAGAACAGGTATTCCTGGGATTTCCTCAGGGATTCCCAGGATTCCCTCATTGGCAGAACAGATATTCCCAGGATTCCCTCGGGAATTCCCAGAATTCCCTCAGTACCTCTGGCAGAACAGATATTCCTGGGATTTCCTCAGCTCCTTGCTGGTTTGGATGTGGAATCCCGTGAAAGATTCCTCCATTTCCTCCTTGCAGCCGGAATGGAGGAATTCCAGGAATTGCTCGAAGATTCCCGTCCATCTCTTCTCCACTGGGAATTCCTTGAGGCCCAGCTGGCTGGAAAACAACACGGGATTGGGATTTTCCATGGTCTTCCCAAATCCTTGTGGATTTCCCCCTCAACTATGGGAATGTTCTCTGGGATTTGATGGAAACACAGGCCTGGGAGAGCTGGGAATGTTTTCCTGGAGTAGGAAAAATTCCAGGGGCTCCAGGAGAGCTGGAGAGGGACTTGGGATAAGGGATGGAGGGACAGGACACAGGGAATGGCTTCCCATTGGGAAAAATGGGGATTTAGATGGGATTTTAGGAAGGAATTCCTGGCTGGGGTGGAATTCCCAAAGAAACTGTGGCTGCCCGTGGATCCCTGGGAGTGTCCAAGGTCAGCATGGATCTATTTAGGATAGTGGGAGGATCCATGGAATGGGAACATCCTTAAACTCCATTCCCATCAAAACTATTCCTGGATAATCCTAAATGGGTTCCAGAAACGGGAATTCCTAAGTGGGAATTCCATAAAAAACCCTCAAGTGTCTTGTCCTGATCATAAAAATCCTTTGGGGGAAAAAATTCCAGATGCGAGGGACTAAAATAATATGGAATTTTTTAATTCCTGCTCCATGCACTGCTGGATATTCCTAAATATTCCTAATTAGGATTCTTTATCTCCTTGGAATTCCTGCAGAAAAGCTGGAAAAGAGTTGAGCAACCACTCCCAGGAGTTATTCCTGCTGGGATAGCTCAGGGAAAAGGCATTTCTGTCCCACGGATTCTCTGAGGGACTGGGAATGTTTTAGATGGGGGGAAAAAGGTGGAATTGAACTGGGATTTGTGAGGGAACTGGAATTTGGGCTGGATGGCATCAAAACATCCATTCCTGCTTCTCTATTGAATTAATTCCATGAAAATCCCAGGATTTCAGGAAAACATCCATCCCTGCTTTTCTATGGAGTTAATCCCAGGATGGCACTAAAACATCCATTCCCTCGTTCCCACATAGGATTAATCCCAGGATTTCAGGAAAGCATCCATTCCCTGCTTCCCTATGGAATTAATTGCATCCGTTCCCCAGGATCCCATCCCCGAGGACCCCATTCCCAAGGACCCTGTCCCAAGGATCCCATCTCTGGGGTCCCATCCTGATGATCCCACCCTGAGGATCCCATTCCCCAGGATCCCATCACAAGGATCCCATCCCTAGGATCCCATCCCAAAGACCCCGCCCCTAGGATCCTGTTCCAAACAATCCCATCCCAACAATCCCAGCCCAAGGACCCCCGTCCTGATGATCCCATCCCCGAGGATCCCATCCCCGAGGATCCCGTCCCTACGATCCCATCCCGAGGATCCCATCCCTATGATCCCATCCCAAGGATCCCATTCCTGAGGATCATGTTCCTGTGGATCCCATCCCAATGATCACATCCCAAGGATCCCATTCCCAACAACCACATCCTGAGGATCCCATCCCCAGGATCCCATTCCCAACAATCCCATCCTGAGGACCCCGTTCCCCAGGATCCCATCCCAACAATCCCATCCCTACAATCCCATCCCAAGGATCCCATCCCAAGGATCCCATCCCAAGGATCCCATCACAACGATCACATCCCCAGGATCCCATTCCCAACAATCACATCCTGAGGATCCTATTCCCAGGATCCCATTCCCAATGATCCTATCCCTAGGATCCCATCCCCAGGATCCCATTCCCAACGATCCCATCCTGAGGATCCCATTCCCAACAATCACATCCCGAGGATCCCATCACAAGGATCCCATCCCCAGGATCCCATCCCAACGATCCCATCCCCAGGATCCTGTCCCCAGAATCCCCATCCCGAGGACCCCATCCCCGCGGATCCCATCCCCAGGACCCCATTCCCTACAATCCCATCCCGAGGATCCCATCCCAAGGATCCCATCCCCAGGATCTCATCCCGAGGACCTCATTCCCAGGACCCAATTCCCAATGATCCTGTTCCCCACGATCCCATTCCCAATGATCCCATCCCCAGGACTCCATTCCCAACGATCCCATCCCCAGGATCCTGTCCCCAGAATCCCCATCCCAAGGACCCCATCCCAACAATCCCATCCCGAGGACCCCGTTCCCCAGGATCCCATCCCAACAATCCCATCCCTACAATCCCATCCCAAGGATCCCATCCCCAGGATCTCATCCCGAGGACCTCATTCCCAGGACCCCATTCCCAACGATCCCATTCCCCAGGACCCCATTCCCAACGATCCCATTCCCCAGGACCCCATTCCCAATGATCCCATTCCCCAGGACCCCATTCCCAACGATCCCATTCCTATGATCCCATCCCAAGGATCCCGTCACCAAGGACCCTGTCCTGAGAGTCCCGTCCCACGGATTCCATCCCAATGATCCCATCCCCAGGATCCTGTCCCCAGAATCCCCATCCCGAGGACCCCATCCCCGTGGATCCCATCCCCAGGACCCCATTCCCAACAATCCTGTTCCCCAGGACCCCATTCCCAACTATCCCATCCCCAGGACCCCATTCCCACCAATCCCATCCCCAGGACCCCATTCCCAACTATCCCATCCCCAGGACCCCATTCCCAACAATCCCATTCCCCAGGACCCCATCCCCGCGGATCCCATCCCCAGGACCCCATCCCCAGGACCCCATTCCCAACGATCCTGTTCCCCACAATCCCATCCCCGTGGATCCCATCCCCAGGACCCCATTCCCAACAATACCATCCCCAGGATCCTGTCCCCAGAATCCCCATCCCCATGATCCCATTCCCAACGATCCCATCCCCAGGACCCCATTCCCAACAATCCCATTCCCCAGGATCCCGTTCCCAACAATCCTGTTCCCCAGGACCCCATCCCCGTGGATCCCATCCCCAGGACCCCATTCCCAACGATCCCATCCCCAGGATCCCATTCCCAACAATCCCATCCCTACAATCCCATCCCGAGGATCCCATCACAAGGATCCCATCCCCAGGATCTCATCCCCGAGGACCTCATTCCCAGTACCCCATTCCCAACGATCCTGTTCCCAACGATCCCATTCCCAACGATCCCATCCCCAGGACCCCATCCCCAAGGACCCCATTCCCAAGGACCCCATTCCCAACGATCCCATCCCGAGGACCCCGTTCCCCAGGATCCCATCCCAAAAATCCCATCCCAAGGATCCCATCCCGAGGATCCCATCCCCAACGATCCCATTCCCCAGGACCCCATTCCCAACGATCCCATCCCCAGGATCCCATTCCCAACAATCCCATCCCCAGGACCCCATCCCCGCGGATCCCATCCCCATGACCCCATTCCCAACGATCCTGTTCCCCAGGACCCCATTCCCAATGATCCCATTCCCCAGGACCCCATTCCCAACGATCCCATCCCCAGGACCCCATTCCGAACAATCCCATCCCCAGGACCCCATTCCCAACGATCCCATTCCCAAGGATCCCATCCCCATGACCCCATTCCCCACGATCCCGTTCCCCGGGATCCCGTTCCCGGCCCTCACACGGAGGCCGGTGGCCGCGGGGGCTCGGGGGCCGTGCTGAGCACTCCGCGGGTGCCGAGGCCGCGGCCGCCGCGGGCGCTGAACGTCCCCTCCAGCACGAAGCCGTTGGCCAGCGACAGCTTCCCCTGCGGAAAAATAATTGATTAATTAAATTATAATTGCGACGCTCATAAAATTTGTTGTTACATTTAAATGTAAAATAAAATGTAAATTTAAATGTAAAATAAAATACATTTGTATATTATTTATTATCACTTTTAAATTAAAATGATAAGTTTTATTATTTATACTAATATTTCTATCAAATAATATAGTTATATTATATATATTTTAAATTTTTAAATAATTTTTTAATTATGCATTAATAAAAAACAAATTACACTACATTTTATTAAAATTAATAATTTAATTTTTTAAAATTACATATTTTAATTTCTATACATAATTCTGTATTCAATTCTCGATTATTGTCAAATTCTTTGGTGTTAAATTCTCTATTTGTTACTAAATTTTCCATTACTAAAGTCCCTTTTTATGAAATATTTTTATTATTAAATTCCCATTTATTATTAGATTCTCTATCATTAAATTCCCTTTTTATTATTAAATTCTCTATTTATTATTAAATTCCCTTTTTATTATTAAATTCCAAATAGCCTTCTCTGCAGAAAAATCTGGAATTATAAATTAAATTAAAAAATCTAAAATGTATTGATTTTTAATTTTAAAAATTACTTCAATTTCTCTACATCAATTTTTTATTCACTACTTGATTATTATTAAATTCTTCGGTGCTGAAGTCTATATTGTTATTCAATTTTCTATTATTAAATTCCATATTTATTATTAAATTCTCAATAGGTTTCCCTGTGGAAAAATATGGAATTATTAATTTTATAAGTTTTAAGAATTACTTATTTCAATTTCTCTATATCAATTCTGTACTCAATTCTTGATGGTTGTTAAATTCTTTTTTATCAAATTCTCTATTATTAGATTACTTTTTTAGTATTACATTCTGGATGGTTTTCCCTTTGGAAAAATCTGGGATTAAGAATTAAATTAAAATTATAAATATCATTATTTTTAATTATAAATAAAATTCTTTACTTCAATTTCTTGACATCAATTCTCTATTCAATTCTCTATTATTAATAATTTTATTTTCTTTAAGTTTGTTTAAATTTTAATTTATTAAATTCTCTATTTGTTACTGAATTCTCTAATTATTATATTCTCTATTATTGCACATTTTTTAAATTATATAAATTTTATATTATTAAATAATCTTTTTGTATTAAATTACCTATGTTATTAAATTGCCTATTATGAATTTAATAGAATAATTCAATATTATTAACCACATTATTACTGAATTCTCTATTTATTATTAAACTCAATCTGTTCTATAAATTCTGTATTATTAAATTCTCTACTATAAAAATTGTCTATTATAAAATTCTTTAAATTTTTAGATTTGAAATACTTTATTTATTAAATTCTCTATTTATAATTAAATTTACTATTATATTCTTTATTATTGAATTCTCTTTTTATTATATAAATTTTCTATTATTAAAGTCTCTACTATTAATTATTTCATTTTAAATTCTTTCCTGTTCAATTCTCTATTTATAACTAAATTCTCAACGATTATATAAATTTTCTATTTATAATTAAATTCTCAATTATTATTCCACTCCCCATTTCTCAATTCTCTCTTAATTATTAAAATCCCAAAAATAAAACCCAAATCAATATCCCAAATCTGCCTTGGAATTCCAGCCAGAAAAGCAGGAAGCACATTCCAGCTGCAGCTAAATCCCGGATTTCCCTGGATTTGCATCAAATCCAAACAGGAATTTTGGAGGGAAAATATCCCAGCACTGGAATCAATCCCTCAAAATCCACCCCGGAGATTTCCCAGGGATTCCCAGACTTTCCACCTCCCGGGGATTCCCAGATTCCAAGGAAATCTTGGATTCACCACCACCGTTTTCTCCACACGGAATGTCCTTGGAGGAGGGCGCTGATGACAAATTCTTCGTTAGCGTTAATTAACAAGCGTTATTGCGCCATCCCCCTGAATTCCTGCCAGGCTCATCCCAGATTTCTGGAAAATTCCTTTTCCCTGCCCTGGGGATTATCTCAATATTTTATAGCAGGAATTTCTGTCGGAATCCAACCGCAAAAGTTGGGACGTGGCAGGGCAGGGCCCGGATTGCGAAATCCCAAATTTCCGCTGCCTCGGCGGCGGCAGCTGCGGGTTCTGCATCATTTCCTGGGGCCCCAAAGCCCGGAATGGTTTTGGTTTCAACATAAAAAAGGATTTCAAGTCACAGCCAAAAAAAAAAACCCCAAAAGAACCTGATAAAAACAGTCAAAAAAAGAAAAAAAACCCGAAAATGGTCAACCAAAAATGTCCCATAAAACCCCAACAAAAACAACAAGAAAAACCAAAACTCAACCAAAAATGTTCCATAAAACCCAGTAAAAACCCAACCAAAACCCACAAAAATTCAACCAAAAATGTCCTGTAAAACACAATAAAAACCAAAAAAAAAAAAAAAGAAGAGAAAAACCCAAAAATCTCCATCAAAAATGTCCCATAAAAGCCAATAAAAACTGCACAAAAAAAACCCAAAAGCTAAACCAAAAATGTCCCATAAAACCCCAACAAAAAAAAAAAAACTCAACCAAAAATGTTCCATAAAACCCAGTAAAAACCCAATCAAAACCCACAAAAATTCAACCAAAAATGTCCTGTAAAACACAATAAAAACCAAAAAAAAAGAGAAAAAGAGAAAAACCCAAAAAACTCCATAAAAAATGTCCCATAAAAGCCAATAAAAACTGCACCAAAAAAAAAAAACCACAAAAGCTCAACCAAAAATCTCCAATAAAACCCAATTTAAAAAATCCCAAAAATTCAACTAAAAATTTCCTATAAAACCCAATAAAAATCCAACAAAAAACCACCCAAAAACTCCATAAAAAATGTCTCTAAAATCCCAATATAAAAAACCCAAAAGCTCAACCAAATGTGTCCCATAAAATCTAATAAAAACCGAACCAAAGAAACCCAAAAATTCAAACAAAAATGTCCCATAAAACCCAACAAAAATGCCAAAAAACTCAACCAAAAATGTTCCATAAAACACAATAAAAACCCAACAAAAACACCCCAAAAAACTCAACAAAAATGTCCCATAAAACCCAATAAAAAACCCAAAAAAGAGAAAAATTTCAAAAAACTCCATCAAAAATATCTCCCCAATAAAAAAACCCCAAAAAAGAGAATAAATTCCAAAACCTCACCCAAAAATATTCCATAAGACCCAATAAACACCTCAAACACACAACCAAAAATATCCCATAAAACTCAATAAAATTGCAACAAAAAAACCCAAAAAAAATCCATAAAAAATGTCCTGTAAAACTCAATAAAAACCCAACAAAAAACCATAAAACCCAATAAAAACCTGACCAAAAAAACCCCAAAATTTCAACCAAATATGTGCCATAAAACCTCTAAATAAATCCCAAAAACTCAACCAAAAAAACCCAAACCATAAAACATGAAAATCCCAAATTATTCCCGAAATTCCCAAAATCTGCAGCTTTCCTTCTGCGCTAAATATTCTGGAAATTTGGAAAATGGGTTTTTTTAGGAAGCTGAGGAAATGGAGCAGGAAGGGATGAACCTGGGAGATGAATCCATGGGAAATTCCAGGAAGAAAATTCCCACCTTTCCAACAAATGTCAGATCTTCCGTGAAGTTCCCTTCGTAGACGGAGTCATCTTCCAGGAGCAGAATTCCCGAACCCTTGGGATGAAAGGAAAAGTCAGGAATTCATGGAATGAACTTCCCACCTGGTCCAATTCATCCCAGAAAGATTTATGGGATCTACATTCCAAGATTTTTTTTTTTTTTTAAGCCAAACATTTCCTTTCAACATTTGGGAGAAGCTCCAGGGAAAACTTATGGAGCAGGAGGTCAGGAAACTTGGAAAAACAAAATTATTCCATGGATTTTCCAAAAAAAGGAACAAAAAATCCACAAAAAGCCACCAAGGATTGTCACAGAGTCAAACTTGTGGTGTTCCCAATCCTGGGATATTTTAGGGAATTCTTTGGGAAATGATTCCAAGAAAACAGCAACTGTGTGGAATTGTGGAATTCCCTATGGGAAAGGGATCCAAAAGGATCAAAATCCAACTCCTGGCACAGGAGCCATCCTAAGAATCCCCGGAAAATCCTGGAGCTCCAGCAGTGTTGGGAATGTGCCCATTCCAGGGAATAATTCCTATAATATTCCTATTCCTATCCCAGGGAAATATTCCTATCCTATAATTTTCTTCCCACTGGGATTTATTGTATAGTTTAAGCCCAAAGGTTTCTTCATCCCCAAACTAGTTGGGATCACTTCCAGAGCTGGAATATTTTCCTCTGGAATGAAAATACCCCAAAAAAACTCAAGCAATAATGTCTCATGAAGCCCAATAAAGAACCCAAAAAAGGAGAAAAAAAATCCCAAAAGCTCCATCAAAAATGTCCAATAAAACCCAATAAAAATCAAAAAAAAAGAAAAAAAATTATCCCAAAACTTCAACCAAGAATGTCCCATAAAACCCAATAAAAATCCAAAAAAAGAAAAAAAATTATCCCAAAATTCCAACCAAAAATGTCTCATAAACCCAAAAAAACCCCGTATTTTTCCCTAATTTGGGAAGCGGGAATGAGGTTGTTGGTTTTATTTTAAGGATGGATTTTTTTTAAGGTTGTTTTTTTTAAGAATGTTTTCATTCCAATGCCAATTCCCTTTGCATTCCCCACCAAATTCCCAATTCCATGAACTGGACGGATGAATTCCCACTGGAAAAGTAAGGATTTGTGATTTCCGGGAAAGATGGAATGTTATAGAATTCTTGGAAAAGTTTGGGCTGGATGGGATCTTCAGGATCCATGGGCAGGGATCTCCCAGGGTGCTCCAGCCTGGCCTTGGACACTTCCAGGGATCCAGGGGCTGCCACAAATCTCTGGGAATTCCATCCCAACCCTTCCAATCCAGGAATTCCTTCCCAATATCCCATCAATCCCTCTGGAAGGGGAGAAGAAACAAGACTTATCCAAGATTTTGTTCTTCCAAACCACGATTAGAGGAAAATCCTGAAGGGCCCACAAGGATCCAAATCCAACCCCTGGCCTTGCACAGACATTCCAACAATCCCACCCTTTCCTGGAGAGTTTTCCAAGCATTCCTGGAGCTCTGGCAGCCTTTGGAATGTGCCCATTCCCTTGGGAATGTCCATCCCAAGCACCCTCTGAGAGCAGAACCTTTCCCTGATCTCCAACCCTCTTTGTCCTCCAGGATGAATTTGGGAATGAAACCTCGATCTCGCCCTCAGCGGTGAATTCCCCATCCCAGGGATTTCCAGATTCCATGGAAATCTTGGACTCACCACCATTTTGTCCGCATGGAATGTCCTCTGGTAGCAGAGCCCTGATTGGGTCACCACGATGCCTTCTCCGTGTCTGTGGTCATCCAACCACATCCCGATGTACCTCTCCCCTCTGGAATGCAAGGAAAACCCAAGTGATGGATTTCCCCATTTTCCCAGCTCTAAATCCATCGGATTTGTCCCGCTCAGGGTGGTTTTTCCTGACATAACATTCCGGACTGGTTGTCCCACACAAACTGAACTCCGGGAATGTTTTCCAAGGAACTCAAGCCTTACATCCCCCCGCATCCATCCCAAACCTCCAGGATTTATCCCACCAAACCCAAAGCTGTCCCACACCTCAGATCCATCCCATCATTACCTCTCCTTGTCTTCCCAGACTCCGTATCCGTTCTTTCTGTCATTTTCCCACTGTCCCGTGTATTTGAAGGGATGCTCAGCGGAAAAGTTCTCCAGGATCCCAAACCCTTGGCGCACGTTGTCCTTGAAGTAGCCCTTGTAGACCAGGTCATTCCCATACCTGCAGGAAGAGGGATGGAATTCCAGCCTGGGAATATTTGACAGCTACTCCTGGAGTAGAAAACCAGGGAAGCAAGGAGATCAGGCTCATCCATCTCAAAATATTCCAAAGATTTTTCCAACAGCATTGAATTGGATCCTTGTTTGCTGTTGGGAATGTGCATCATCCAAACCAGACATTCCAGAGCTTCCCAAATTATCCAAGGACTCAACACATGGGCTTGGAATTATCCTGGGAGAGGCCACTCAGGCCTTGACCTCTCACCAGCCTGGGCACAGGAAGCTCTGGTGAATCCAGGCTGGAAAATGGAATCCATAGGAGGAGGCCAGGCTTGGATCCAGCTCCAGTGGAGAAATCAAGGACAGGGATGAGCAGGAGCTGGGTGTTCCCAGTGGCCCAAGCACTGGGAGTGACTTCAGAGGAGAAAATTCCAGGGAAATCTCAGAGCCCCTTCCAGGGCCTGAAGGAGCTCCAGGAGAGCTGGAGAGGGACTGGGGACAAGGGATGGAGGGACAGGACACAGGGAATGGCTCCCACTGCCAGAGGGCAGGGATGGATGGGAGATTGGGAAGGAATTCCAGGCTGGGAAGGTGCGGAGGGGTTGGGATGGAATTCCCAGAGCAGCTGTGGCTGCCCCTGGATCCCTGGAATGTCCAAGGAAAGGTTGGAGCACGCTGGGACAGTGGGAGGTGTCCCTGCCCATGGAATGGGATCATCCTTAAGCTCCCAAACAATTCTGGAATTTTAAATGCCCACACAGCATTTCCAGACCAGGCTCCAAAGATTTCAGGGAACATTTCCCCCTTTAAATCCCTGGAACCCCTTTTCCCCTGGAATCCATCCTGGATTTTACTTACTCACAGATTCCATAGCCCCTCATCTTGCCCTGGTACCAGTGGCACTTGTAGCAGTCGTAGCGGTCCTCGGAGCGCCGCGGGACCAGGCAGATCCCGAACCTAGCGGGGGCACAGGGAAAAGGTCAGTGTGGAAAAATCACCATGGAAAAGGTCAGCATGGAAAAATCACCATGGAAAAGGTCAGTGTGGAAAAATCACCATGGAAAAGGTCAACATGGAAAAGGTCAACATGGAAAAGGGTGACTCCATTGCAGTGGACGAACTTCAAAAACCAATTTAAACTTCATGGGATTGATTTTTTTTTTTTTTCCTGTAAAAAGCTTCTCATTTAAATGAGGTTTTAAAGAGACCTAAAAACAACCTTAAGACGCTTTCTGTGAATAAATTCCCATGGACTTGGGGATCTGGGATCAGATTCCAACTGGATGGAATGTCTGCGTGGAAAAGGTCAGCACGGAAAACAGTGACTCCGTTGTATTGGTTGAAGTTTAAAAACCAATTTGAATTTCATGGGATTGTTTTTTTTTTTTTCTGTAAAACTTTTCATTTAAGTGAGGTTTATAAAAGGATCTAAAAATAACTTCAAGATTCTTCCTAGGAATAAATTCTCATGGATTTGGGGATCTGGGATCATGTTCCAGCTGGATGGAAATGTCTGCACTGAAAACAGCAACTCCATTGTAGCGCTTGTTTAAAATCCAAGGATTGTCCAAATTTCCAGTCTTTATGTGCTTGGATCTGCCATACCTGGGACACTTTTCCCTGGTGCCACTGGACTTTTTCCAAAGGAAAACTCATCCCTTTGGGAGCTGCACTCCCAGATCCTCATTGTTCCTTCTCCAGAGTTTGTTTCAGTGCTGGTTTTCCCCCTCTTTCCTCCTTACCTGATTTAGGGGCTGAGTAAAATATTCTGGGATTCCCAACACAAAGTGTTTGGGACATATTTCCCCCCCACATTTGGAAAAATGAGGAATCCTAAAGTCCTACTTCCAATAAAATTGAGATAAATAATATTTGAATTTCACAGATTGGTTTCTTAAATCTTGAGGAAAAGCTCATTTAAGTGATGTTTTAAAAGGGATCTAAAAATAACTTGAAGACACTTCCTAGGACTAAATTCCCACAGATTTTGGGATCAGATTCCAGCCCCTGGGGTCAGTCACAGTCAGTCCCCTCTCTCCAGGTTCCAACATCTGGCAGGAACCATTCCAGTTTATTTTCAGAGCAGGGAATATCCCGTTTCCCAAGGCTTACCCGTGCTCCAGGCCCTCCTGGAAATCCCCGACGTGGTTGCGTCCATCACGCCACTTCAGCGTCCCCCTGGAATCCAAGGAATTCTCTCACAAGGGACATCACGACATTCCCAGAGGGAACAGCACCTACTAAAGCCCAGCCTAAATATTTAGGCAAGTTTAGATGGAGCTTGGAGTCCAGTGGAAGGTGTTCATGGCATGGGGTTGGAATTGGATCATTCCCAAAGTTCTTTCTGACCCAAACCATTCCCAGATTTTATGGCAAACACCCAAAAAAAACTCCTCAGAGGACAGAGACACAAAAGGCACCTCCAGGCCTTGGTTTTCAGCAGGAGGATTTAATCCCATAATGTTTTCCTGCTCTGGCATGAGTGGGAACAATTGATTCCATTCCCTAATCCCAAAAGTATTTTGTGGAGGTGCTGCCTCGTGCCTTTAGGACCTTGCAGCTGATCCGGAATTAATTACAGGGATTAATCCAACTGGAGTTCCAGCCTGGCCCATCCCCGTGGACACGCTGACACCACAGCCTGGAATTCCAGCAGCTCAGCTGCTGGGAAAACCACTGGGAAAACAGAGAGGAAAACCATTCCCAAGGGATCGCTCATCCCATGATTTGTGGGGGCTGGAAAAGCGATTCCAGGAGGGGATCCCACAGCAAGGAGAGCCGGGAATGGGCAATGCTGGTGAAATTCCTGCCTGGCCGTGCCCGGCTCTGGAGTGATTTCCCTCCCTCATGGAATTCCACTCCACCCACACCCATTGACAGCTTTAATTCCAGCCTCATCCCAGAAAATCGAGTCCCTGCACATTCACATTCCCCAGCCAGACACAATGGAATTACAAAATCCTGGAATGCTTTGGGTTGGAAGGACCTTAAAGATCATCTCATCCCACGGGCAGGGACACCTCCCACTGTCCCAGGCTGCTCCAAGTGTCCAACCTGGCCTTGGGCACTTCCAGGGATCCAGGGGCAGCCACAGCTGCTCTGGGAATTCCATCCCAGCCCTTCCTCACCCTCCCAGCCAGGAATTCCTTCCCAAGTTGAGTTTAAATGGATCTTGAGCATGGAATAAAAGCTGGGAATGAGGCTGAGGCAGTACCAGGGATTTTAGGAGTTCTGAGCTCTTTTTGGAGCTGGAGGCCAAGGCTTTGGAATCCCTCAGGGAATGTTGGGATATTTTCCCTCTGTGCTGATGCTGAGCTCGTCTGCTTTGCCTCAAAACCCCAACTGGAACAACTGCAAACCATGGAATCATGGAATTTTTGGGGTTCATGGGATCTTCAAGAACATCCTGTTCCAACCCCATGCCAAGGACAATTCCCACTATCCCAGGGTGCTCCAAGTGTCCAGCCTGGCCTTGGCACTTCCATGGATCCAGGGGCAGCCACAGCTGCTCTGGGAATTCCATCCCAGCCCCTCCCCACCCTCCCAGCCAGGAATTCTTTCCCAACATTTAATCCAAACCTCCTCTGGGTCGGTTTGCCAGGAGATGGTGCAACACCAAAACCGTGACGAGGTTGTTTGACTTTCACCGAGGTTGTTGTTTCAAACACCTCCACGAGACTGGCTCTTCTCCAGGTTTTCCAGAGGATTGGTCGGACGTGTTTGACATTCCAATATTTTAATTTTCATTGAAATCTCCTTTGGCTTTGTGAGTCGTAATGGAAAAGGGGATCAGCCAAAGGGGATGAGGGAACAGCTGGATCTGGGCCGGGTTTAGGTTGGATTTTAGGGAAAATTCTTCCCCCAGAGCGTGTCGGGCACTGAACATTCCCTGAGGAATGGGCACATTCCCAAAACTCCTCCAGGAGTTTGGACAGGGTGGGATTGTTGGGATCTGTGCAAGACTTGATCCCTGTGAGCACTTCCCACTCAAGATATTCCATAATTCCAAGTCTGCTCCAGGCATGAGGATGTTTAAGCCACATCTGAGTGGGAGTCTGGCCTTACCCCAGCCCAGGTCACCCGAAATTCCAGGACAGCCACTGGAGAACTGTGGAATTCCAGGACGCTCTGGAAGCCAGTGGACAACGCCAATGTTTTTGCCAAAGAGCCCAAATCCCCAGTCCCACAGCTCTGCTCACCTGCTCCTCCCTCAGAAATCCCAGAGCAGCCACCAAGGCCGGGATGCTGCTCCAGAACCTTCCGGCAACAAAATCACAACAGATGAATTCCAGGAGTTCCTCTGGGAACTCATATCCAAGTGGGATTTGAGTGAGAAGGGAGCTCAAATCCAAGGAATTGAACACCTGAAGTCCCTGAATTCTGCCAGAAATTTCCTGGGATGCCTCACCCAAGTCACTCCATGGGCAGGAGAGGTTTGCATTAATCCAAATTTTCCAGCCCTAACGCAGGAGAGGGTAAAAACCCGGAGATGGTTTTGAGGGAGTCAAGCGGGGGATGATCCAAAAGTCTCCTGCCCTAGAAGCTCCTCTGATGCTGTTCCAGGACACAGCACAATCTCTTCCACAGAATATTCAGGATTCAGTTTTGAATTTGGGGTTGGAACTGGATTCAAATCCCTTCCAAGCCATTTATATTCTGGATTCTTTCATTATTTTAGAGCTCTCTCAAACTGAGTCTCTCTCCATCCATTTTCCTTTCAAAGCAAACTGTGTAAAACTCACGGAAAATAAAATTTCCCAATGTTTTGGTGGCTGAGGAGCTTGGTCATATTCCAGGGTTCTTTCCAAAAAAAACAGAGCATTCTCTATCCTATGTCCAAAAAGTTTTGGTTGGGAACTTTGATTTGCAGACATTCCCTCACTTAAACTTAGATTTATTCAACATTTCCCAAATGTTCCCATTTAGCTCCTTTTGGACTTTCTTAACTAAGCTTAATTTTCTTAATTAAGCTTTTCTTAATTCCTGGGGTAAAAGTTTGGATGTTTCAAATTTGGATAAAGTCCAAAGAGATTCTGATAGCAGAGAATAAAATAAAATAAATATAAATAAAATTCCCCACAAAGGGTTTTTATTGGGGATTTTCCTGATTGTGAGGGATTTTCATACCCCAGGCTGAGATCTTGATTTTAGGCCAAGCCTAAATTCTAAGCAGAGGCAGCAGCTCATGCAGCATCTTCAGGGTGTCCAACACCACGTTTTTGGGGCTGCCTTTAGGATTTAATCCATAAACTATGAGACATCCACAATAAATTCCAAGTTTTAGGATTCAGGATTTTCTAATCCTGCCCTCAAGGCCAGAATTCCCTCTGGGAATGAGTGAGGACGAAATCAAAGAGCCAAGCCTGGATTCACATCCACCACCTCATTAAGAATGAAATTCTGACCTTATCCCCATCCTGGAAGTGCCCAAAAAAGGAGCAGACCCTTGGTGAGGTGGTTGCATGACCTACGAGATCTTTCCCAACCTTCACGGAAACTCCGAGCCACCACTGCCAACCTTATTCCCACTTGGAAAAAGGGCCCAGAAGGTTCCTTACTTGCCATGGGGCTTCCCTGAGAGCCACTTGCCCTCATGGGTGGCCCAGAAAAGGAGCAGCAGCCCCTTCGTGACGTGGTTGAGTGACCTGCAGATGTTTGGATTGACCTTGGAGATCTTTCCCAACTTTCATGGAAACTCCAAGCACTTCCAACCTTATTCCCATTTGGAAAAGAGGCCTAAAAGGTTCCTTCCAGGAGCAACTTGCCCTCATTAGTGTTCCCCCTGAGCCTGCCCAGGAAAGGAGCAGCTTCTTTGTGATGTGGTTGAGTTGACCTGGAGAAGTTTGGGTTGACTTTGGAGATCTTTCATGGAAAAGCCCAACCACCACTTCCAATCTTATTCCCACTTGGAAAAGGGGCCCAAAAGGTTCCTTACTTGCCATGGGGCTTCCCTGAGAGCCACTTGCCCTCATGGGTGTCCCCCCTGAGCCTGCCCAGAAAAGGAGCAGCTCCTTCATGATGTGGTTGAGTTGACCTGGAGAAGTTTGGGTTGACTTTGGAGAACTTTCCCAACCTTCAGTGAAACTCTAAGCAAAACTCTAAATGTCCCAGCACTTCCAACCTTATTCCCACTTGGAAAAGAGGCCTAAAAGGTTCCTTCCAAGAGCCACTTGCCCTCATGGGTGTCTCCCCTGAGCCCACCCAGAAAAGGAGCAGCCTCTTCTTGAGTGACCTGGAGATGTTTGGGTTGACCTTGGAGATCTTTCACGGAAATGCCCAACCACCACTGCCAACCTTATTGCCACTCGGAAAAGGGGCCTAGAAGGTTCCTTACTTGCCATGGGGCTTCCCTGAGAGCCACTCGCCCTCATGGGTGGCCCCTCTGAACCTGCCCAGAAAAGGAGCAGCAGCCCCTTCATGATGTGGTTGAGTTGACCTGGAGATGTTTGGGTTGACCTTGGAGATCTTTCATGGAAATGCCCAACCACCACTGCCAACCTTATTGCTGCCCGGAAAAGGGGCCCGGAATGTTCCTTACTTGCCATGGGGCTTCCCCCAGAGCCACTCGCCCTCGTAGGTGGCCCCGCGGAGCCGTCCCTCCATGCGGAAGACGTAGGTGAAGAAGCGGCGGGACGGGGCCTGGCTGTCCTCCCCGCTGCGGCCCCAGAGGGGGAAATCGCGCTTCCCGTTCAGCGCCTGCCGCACGGCCTGCGCCAGCTTCCACCGCCACACGGCCTGCGGGCACGGAAAACAGGGAATGAGCGCGGATCCCAGGGAAAGCGACCGGAGACAACTTCAGGAAAGCAGCCAGGAACTTGTGGGTTCCCATCAAAGCCCGTCTGCAGCTTCCACAGGGGTTCTCCTGGAAGTTGGATACTGCAGCAAGGCACAACAGCTGTGAGGGAGGAATTTCCACTTGGATGTTAAAAAACAGGGGAAAATTTCACTTGGATATTAAAAAAAAATGAAATATAACTTTCAAGTTGATTTGCAAGAGAAACTTCAGGACAAGCAGCAAGAAACCGATGGGTTCCCACCAACATTCCTCACCTCTGAGCCACCTCCGGCCATCTAATCCAGGATTTTTTTTTTTAAAGGAGCCAAAAAATCCCAACCCACCCTCACTAGAATTATTATCCTGTTTTAAATAATAGAGATGGGAAAATCCCAAAGCCTGACCTTCATCTGAGGGTCCTTGGTGGAGAGGACGAACATCTCTTCCGGGGTTGTGATGCGTAGGCTGTACCTGGGAGGGGAATAAAAGGATGGAAAACACAATTCCCAATCCATCAGCTCTTCCCATTCCCCTCCTGGAGATCCTGGTGCTTTCCCAGGTGGTTTTTCTGGAGAGATCGCAAGTTCTCCAGGGCTGGATTAAATAATTTTGGGATTCATTGGCAAGGAATGGGATGAGAGGGAACAGCCACAGGTTGTGCCGGGGGAAGGTCAGGTTGGACATCAGCAGGAATTTTTTCATGGAAAATGTGGTCAGGCGTTGGAATTGCCCAGGGAGGTTTGGAGTGCCCATCCCTGGAGGTGTCCAAGGAATTCTGGGCTGGGAACAAGGTAGGGATGGGACACAGGTTGGATTTGATGATCCCAGAGGGCTTTTCCAACCTCAGAAATTCTGGGATTTCAATCTGGCAGCAGATTCCAAGCTGGTGAGACTCCATTATCCATATCCCAATCCCACGGCTCGGAAAGGAGATGGGACAAAGCTTTGGATCATTTTCCCATCGACCTGAACATTTTTATTCCATTTTTTTAACTCCCAGTGGGAATTTCTCACTCACAATCCTGGAGCCGATTTCTCTCCACAGTTTTCATCCACCCACACCAACTTCAGATCAAAACTCTGGAAGCTGTTTCCCTGGAAAACAAAGGGAAAAGATGGTCCTGTTATTGCTGGAAATATCCATAAATATCCATGGAATGGCAGAACTGGAGTGGCAGCACAAATTCCCAACATTCTGGTCCATCCATCCCACATTGGGAGATCTTGGAGATGGAACGCCACCAGAAAAGGAGGGAAGTTCTTGTTTGAACACTCCTAAAGCTCTTCCGTGGCCACATCCAGGAGTAAAACATTCCTACATGACCGTGATCTCCACAGGAATTCCTTCCCTATCACATGGCAACATTCCCAAATCATCCCAGCTGATATTCCCAGAGATTTGTGGTTGCCCATCCCTGGAAGTATCCATGGAAAGGTTGGACAAGGCTTGGAGCAACCTGGGATGGTGGGAACCATGGAATAGGGTGGGAATGGATCATCTTTGAGCTCCCTTTCCATTCAATCCATTCCAGGATTTACTTAGGATTTGGACTCCAAGAAATATCCCAGAAATCCCAAATTTAAGGAGTCACTTTTGGGATCAGCAGCACCAAAACAAAACAAACTCCAATGATTGGAATAAAAGGAAAATTTTAATTTCTCATCTCCTTTCCCTGCGTCACATCCAGGTGTTCACACAGAGCTGCTGCCCGGAGGGATGGAGTTTTCCAAGGAATTACACAGAGTTTTTCCAGATTTGGGAGAACAGACAAGGAAAGGACCAAAATTCCCAACCAGGTCAATCCCAATTGAGTTGGAATTCCCAGACCTCCATAAAGCTCAGCAGCAGCAGAGGAGACACAGATGGCAGTCATGGGTTGAACATGGAGATAATTCCATGGATTTGCTGATCTCCTGTTCCCATCCCAGCCACCAGCGTAATCCAAGCTGGAATTCCCTCATAGGAACACATCCCCACATCCCAAAATTCTCAAAATAGCCCCAAAACCCCTCCAGCATCTGCAGCCATTGTACAAACATGGAAAATCCTGTTTATCCCAATGTGTGGGAGCTCATGGAATGTCATCCTTGGGATAACCAAGGGGCAAAATTCCCTGTGGAAAAGGGTTTGGACCACTCAAAAGGTGCCTGTGGTGGTGGATAATCCGCATTTCCTGGGAAAATGTTCTGTGGATCTCCTCTACTCTTTCCCAGATTTCCTTTATTTTCCAGAGCCAACCACACACAGATGGATCCGAGACAAAGTTTTCCCAACTTTTCCCAACAGCCAAACTCTGCTGTGTGCTCAACATCCAAGAACTAGAATTTTACCACCATTCCTATGGAAATTCCTGTCATTTCTGCCATTCCATTGGAATTTTAGGTCTGTTTATCCGTGTTCCCTTCCCAGTCCCTGCGGAGGATCCCGGACTCACCTGGATGAGCACCAGGACATCGTCGAAGAGCAGGAGCCGCTCGGAGCGGGCGGTGCCGGAAGCGATGGGAATATTCCTGCTGTCCTCCAGGAGCCTCCTCTCGGGGACACACAGCACATCCTGGAGCAGCAGGAAAAACCAGGATTGGGAAAGGACATGGAATTCCAGGCAGGAATTCCTGCAGGGATCAGCTGGCTCAGGGTTGCAGTGACAGTGACACGCTCGGGACACAAATTCATCTTCCACCCAACTCTGCTCTGTCAACTTCAATCTCAAATTCCCAATCCATACCAAATTCCCAATCCATACCAAATTTCCGATCCACACCAAATTCCCGATCCATCCCAAATTCCCTCTGGCTCGGGGTTCCAGTGGCAGTGACACACTTGGGACACAAACTCAGCTTTGAAACCCCCAGGGAGTTTCTCCAGCACTTCCACCCAGCTCTGCTCTATTAAATTCCAGCCTCAAATTCCCAATCCAAATTAAATTCCTGATATCAAATTCTTCATCCTTATCAAATTTGAGATCCATACCAAATTGCTGATCCATATTAAACTCCCAATCCACTTTGAATTCTTCATCCTTATCAAATTCGTGCTCCATATCAAATTCCTGATCCATATCGAATTCCTCATCCTTATCAAATTCCCGATCCATAACAAAATCCTGACCCACATCAAATTCCCAATCCACTTCAAATTTCTGATCCATATCTAATTCCTGACCCATACCAAATTCCCGAACCATATCAAATTCTTCATTCTTATCAAATTCTCCATCCAATTCCCATTCCTCATCCACTTCCAATGCCTCATCCACTTCCAATTCCTGATCCACTTCCAATGCCTCATCCACTTCCAATGCCTCATCCACACCAAATTCCCAATCCATACCAAATTCCTCAACCTTATCAAATTCCCCATCCACTACCAGTTCCTGATCCATGTGAAATTCCCGATCCATGTGAAATTCCCGATCCATGTGAAATTCTCAATCCATACCAAATTCCCAGTCCATACCAAAGTCCTCATCCTTATCAAATTCCCAATGCACACCAAATTCCCGATTCCTGTTCCGTTCCCTCGGGACTCACGGTGAATTTGTAGCCCAAGGATTTCCAGAGCTCCTTGGTGACGCCGGCCTCATCCAGGACCTGGCCAATGAAGGATTCCAACTTCCCAAATTCCTGCGCCACAGCGGCCACCACATCCCGCTCCGACCCCTGGGAAAAGACAGGAAAACTCCAGGAACGCTGCAAATCTGGGTCAAGGGAGTCCAGGCTGGATTTTAGGGAATATTTATCCATTTCAATATTAAATTTAAATATTTATTTATTTTATATTATCAATGTCCAGGCAGGATATTTGGGAATATTCAGCATCGTGTCCCTCTGGGAATGAGGGAGCTCCAGGCTGGATTTTCGGGAATATTTAGAAAAGAAGGTCCAGGTTGGATTTTAGGGAATATTTAGCAAAGAATGTCCAGGCTGGATTTTTGGGAATATTTAGAAAAGAAGGTCCAGGCTGGATTTTAGGGAATATGTACCCATTTCAACATTAAATTTAAATATTTATTTATTTTATATTATCAATGTCCAGGCAGGATATTTGGGAATATTCAGCATCGTGTCCCTCTGGGAATGAGGGAGCTGGATTTTAGGGAATATTTAGCAAAGAAGGTCCAGAGTGGATTTTTGGGAATATTTAGAAAAGAAGGTCCAGGTTGGATTTTAGGGAATATTTAGCAACACATCCATTCTGGATCAGAAAAGGTCCAGGCTGGATTTTTGGGAATATTTAGGAAAGGATTTCCAGGCTGGATTTTTGGGAATATTTAAGAAAGGAGTTCCAGATTGGATTTTTGGGAATATTTAGAAACGTGTCCATCCTGGATCAGAAAAGGCCCAGGCTGGATTTTTAGGAATATTTAGGAAAGGATTTCCAGGCTGGATTTTTAGGAATATTTAAGAAAGGAGTTCCAGGTTGGATTTTTGGGAATATTCAACAACACATCCATCCTGGACTAAACAGTTCCAGGTTAGATTTGCAGGAATATTTAGCCAAGGACATCCAGGTTGAATTTTAGGGAATATATCTTCGCGCAAAACCGATCAAGAAGATCCACTGAGCATTCCAGGGAATTCCCACCTCCTGGAGCTGCTCCTGGAGCTGCTGGAGGAGCCGCAGGTAGTTCTGGATGTGCTCCTGGAAGGGTTTGTGGAGCGCCAAGTGCAGGGCCAGCCCCAGGGAACTCTCCGAGGTGAAATCCCGCAGGAATTCCTTCAGCACCGCCTTGTGCAGCTTCCAGGCCTCGCTGGAAAATTGGGAATGATGAGAAAGGGTCGTTAATTATCCTGGAATTCCTGCTCTTCTCTTTTCCAAATTTCCCGCGTGGCAAGGATGGAGAAAGGCATGAAAAATCCAGGAATGCTTTCGTGTTTGCAGTTGTTGCTTCCATAAATATCTGGGATTAGTGGGAATTCCCAGCCAGATTCCCACCCCTTCCCTAAATCCCCAAATCCTACATTTCCAACTGCAGAAGGAGCTCAGGGTGGTTGGTAAAATGAAAATCCAATCCTGGAATGGGACAGGGCTTGGGGCAACCTGGGATAGTAGGAGCCATGGAAAAATCAGGAATGTTCTCAGAAATTCACATTTTCATTTCCTGCTTCCAGAAAAATCTGGGATAAGTGGGAATTCCCAGACAGATTCCTTTCTCCAATTCCATCTTTTCTCTAAATCCCCAAATCCCAACTTTCCAACTTCAGAAGGAGCTGGGGGTGCTTGGAGAGGAAAATCCAATCCTGGAATTGTCCAAGGTTGGAAAGGGCTTGGAGCGACCTGGGATAGTGGGAGCTGGCCTGGGATGGAAGGAGAGGATATTTTTTTGGGAATTTTCTGAACCATTCTGGAATTCTGTGATTCTCTGGTGTCCCCATATCCCAAGGATTCCCAAAATTCCCAAGGATTTTCCACCCACTGACCTCTTGCTCTTGGCAGCCTGCTCGAAGCCCTGGACCACAACAAAGTTGGCAAAAGTGACGAAATACCTGGAAAAAAATTCCAATGAGAAGTTAGAGAGGGAAATTCAGGATGAGTTTATGGATCCCAACTTTTTGGGAAGTTCTCTTAATCCCATAAAAGCACCTCTGGAAAAATGTAGCCCCAGATGTTTGATGGATTGAGATCAAAGGTTGGATTGGATCTTGGAATTTTTTCCCAATCTTAATTCCAGGATTTTTTGGCAGACTTGGATAAGGCAAAAGTGCTGATAATCCCGAGATCTGTTTCCATCAGATTTTATGGAATGAAATTCTATAAATTAATTTCCTGCTCCAAGCTGTTCATTCAGACTCTTCACCACAGAATTCCCATTAGAATTGGGAAAATTTGGGAATTCTGGGATGGAAATAATGGAGTTGTCACACTCCGGCTCTGAGCTTTATTTTTCCAAGTAAAACTTGGAATTTTCTTTTTCCATTTCCCAAGATTTTCTTCCAAGATCTGCATTTTCTGTACCAAAAAATTCCCAGCTAATCCCACATTTCTCCCAGAAAATCCCACATTTCCCATGCAAATCCCACATTAAACCCAGGTTTAATTCCAAAAGAAACAGGAATAAAATCTCAAGAAAAATTCCTTTGGATCATCCAAAACCTTATCCACCTGGAAAATCCCAAATCAGGAAATCCCAAATCAGGAAATCCCAAACTGGGAAAGCTTTGGCCGCTTCCATGGAGAAGCAAAAATGTGAAATTGAAGATTTTTATGGAATTTCAGCTCTCCATAAAATTCCATTCCCGCTGGGATCTCCAATCCTGATCCAAAACCACAAAATGCTGGAAAAATCACACTTAACCCATTCTCCAAGGATATTTTCTCTCTGTGGGCTCTCATCCCGATTTTTCCCAGTATTCCCAATGGGATCAACCCGATCCTTTTTTCCCCGAATATTCCGGCGCTCACTGGATGTAGAGGCTGAGGAAAAGTTCTCCTTTCCAAAGGATGTAAAAATCCTGGATACAACCGGAATTTTCCACCTGGGATTTCCCCCTCAGGATCCGGGAATTCTCCTCTGTGAAATTCCAGAGGGTTTGGAAGCGATCGTTGAGGAGCACCAAGAGCTGGAAGTTCTCCTTTTCCTTTGGATCCTGCGGCTCTGGGAGGGAAAAATCAGGAAAACGCTGTGGGAAAGCAGGAATTCCCAAGGGATTTTGTGGAATTTTGTGGTTGAAAAATTCTGGGAAATGGGAAATTCCAGGAATTTTCGGAGCTGTTTTGGCTGGAAGGAATGACTTAAATGATTTGGGAAAATAGAAAGGAAAACAATGGGAAAAATGGAAAAAACAGGGGAAATTCCAGGAATTTTTGGAGGCCATGGAGCAGTTCTTGTTGGAATGGGACAAACTATCCCAAATTCTCTGGACGCTCATCCCATTGCCCCAGAGGGAAAATTCCCACCCTTTTCCCACGGAACCATTTCCAGTTTCCTTGGAGTCATCCCAGAAAGAATTCCTGGAAAAACCCCTCCCAGGAAAATCAGGGCCAGGAATTTCCCTGGATCAGGAATGCTGATCCCGGTGAAAACACTGATCCCAAAAAACCATCCTGGCCTCACTCACTATCCCCGAATTTAGGGAAAACATTCCCACAAAACATTTTCTCTTCCCAGCGGGAATTCCAGCCAGAAATCCCTTCCCAGATCAATTCCCAGTGGGAATTCCAGAGGAAAAAATCCCAGAATTTACCTGCCTGGAGCAGAGGTTTGAGGATGAGGGCGTCAATCCGGGCCAGGCAGGAGGAGAAGTTTTCCTCCAGCTGGAGCAATGATCCCAAAATTCCCGAAATTCCAGCTGTGGACATGGCCTGGAAAATAGCGGGAATGAATCAAATCCCTGGAAATCCATTGGATTCCATCTCCAAGGTTTTTCCCTGGATTTCTAGCAAAGCTTCCCTGCCCTTGGCGGCATTCCCGGGTGGAGCTGATCCCAAAAATCCTCAGGAAAAGTTGGGAAAGGAACGGAAACCAAACAGCACAAGTAGAGACAGCCCAGCCCAGTTTTCCCAAATTTTCCTGAATTTTCCTAAATTCCCGATGATCTCAGGGCTGGAAAAGCCTGGAATTAATTCCTTGTGTTAATCCTGATGGGGATTTTTCCAATCCAGAGGGGTTTTCCCAGGAGAAAATCCCAGAAATCCAAGGGATGAAGGAGAAATCTCATTCCCATCCCACCCATTCCCAAATTCCCGATGATCTCAAGGCTGGAAAAGCCTGGAATTAATTCCTTGTGTTAATCCTGATTCACTCCACAGGGAATTAAATCATGGAAATCCAAAGAATGAAAAAGAAATCTCTTCCCATCCCTCTCATTTCCATTCTCATCCCTCTTTTCCCAAATTCCCAATGATCCCAGGGCCACAAAATATTCGGAAAAGCCTGGAATTAATTCCTTCAGGAATTAATGGAATTCAGCAGGATTATTTGTCTTTTCCCAAAGAAAATTCCCAGAAAAAGTTCCCACAATTCCCAGAGGAAATTCCCCCAATTCCTGCAGAAAATTGCCCCAATTCCCGGAAAGAACTCCTACAATTCCTGGAGGAATTTCCCACAATTCCCAGAGAAATTCCCCAGGCGCTTTCCTGCCCAAAGCCTTTCCCGAGGGAATTCCAGGTGCTTTGCATGAAGCCTTTTCCAACACCTTTGGAATGTCAACATTCCCAAACAGGTCAGGCCTGTGGCTCAACTAGGCTGGGATTAACTAGAGCTGGTTTTAGCAGCCAAACCTAAACCTGGCAGCTTCCAGAGGTTTATTCCACTCCTATTCCCAAAAAAAATCAACTCTGGAATCAGGAATCTCCAAATTACCAACTTTAGTCCCTGTTCCTCCCTGTTATTCCCAAATTTCTTTGGAATTCCCAGATTTTTTGGCCTCCAAAACACTCTCAAGACCGGATTTTTGGGATAATCCTGTCCACATTCCCAAAAAATTCCCATTTTCCTGCTCTTTGGGATTGAAACCATTCCAGGGAGCAGCTGCACATTCCACAGGAGTTTTCCCTAAACAGCCTCAGCTTTAAGCCAGGCCTACATAAACCCAATTTAAACCCAGTTTAAACCCAGCCCCAGATTAAACCCAAGTTTAAACCAAAGTTTAAACCCAGCCCCAGATTAAACCCAAGTTTAAACCAAAGTTTAAACCCAGCCCCAAATTAAACCCAAGTTTAAAACATGCCTCAAACTAAACCAAAGTTTAAACCCAGCACCAAATGCACTCCAAGTTTAAACCAAAGTTTAAACCCAGCCCCCAATGAACTCCAAGTTTAAACCAAAATTTAAACCCAGCCCCAAGTTAAACCACAATTTAAACCCAGCCCCAAACTAAACCCAAGTTTAAACCACAGACTAAACCCAGCCCCAAAATAAACCCAAGTCCAAACCCAGCCTCTCCTCTGCCTTTCATTCTTTATTTTATTTTTTTTTAAGCCTCCAAAGCACCGTTTCCCTCAACTTGGATCCCGATTTTCCATGGAATTCCGGAGCTCCTGAAAGTTTTTTTTGGGATTATCTCCTCCTGCTAAACCGAGTTTATCAACCCGGCTTTAATTCTCGATCTCTTGGCAGCGCCGCGGCTTTTCCAGCTTTGTTCCATCCGCCCTGGAATTCCAGGCGAGGCTGGAAAATCCCTCCCTGCAGGAGCAGGATCGGGAGTCCCGCCTGGAAAAGCCGCGGTGGGAGCAAGGACGAGGTTTAGGCTGGGATTTAATTTTTTCCGCGAGTGAAATTCCTTAAAAAGGACTGAAATTCCTCTGGGAAAGGCGGGGTTTTGTGGGAAAATCCGTGAAAATCCGCTCCGGAATTTGGAATTTGATCGCGGTTCTACCTAGGGAAAACATTCCCAAATTTCCTCCGGGCTAAATCAAACTGATCCCAAAACCAAGCAGGAAATCCCAAAATTTGCTGGATTCTGGAGCGACCCACCTGGAATGAGGCAGCGCAGGAAAATTCCCGGCTGGAAAAAACTCCGGGAGGCGCAGAAATCCGGGAATTCTCGGTGTTCCCAAGGCTGGAACTTTTCCCTCCCATATTTCCCTCCCACATTTGGAGGCAGAGCCTCAAATCCCAAACACCCACGGGAGCCGGGATTACAAAATCCCAAATCTTGGTTCCCCAAAGTTCCTGCTCCTCCTCTTCCCCCCTCCTCCCTTTTCTCTTTTTTCTTTTTTTAATTTAAATAATCCCGGATTTTGTCATCCCGGATTTTGTCATCCCGGATTTTGGGGAAGTTGACGTTTCGGGAAGTTGAAATTTCGGGAAGTGAAAGGGAAAAAAGAAAAAAGTCAGGAGGGGTTCTGGGGTAGTTTCGCTTTTCAGCCTCGCTCTGTTCCCACAGCGCTTCTCCCAAAAAAACTTTGGGATTTTTTCCTCCTCCTTCCAGGCTCGCTCCCATTTGCTGGAAATTCCAGGAATTCCTTGGGAACGGAGATTTTTCCTGCCATTCACAAGCGGCGCTTCCCTTCCGTCTAAAAACCCAAAAATAACCCCAAACTTCCCGAATCCCTCGGTCAGGAGCTCCCAGAGTCCTCTGCTGCAGCTCCACCTTTAACTCTTTCCCTTCCTCCTAAAAATCCTAAATCCAACCCCAAAATTCCCAAATCCATCGGTCAGGAGATCCCATACGCCTCAGCCACTTTTAAGTCATTCCCCTCCTCCTAAAAACCCTAAACCCGACCCAAAAATCCCCAAATTTCATAGGTCGGGAGATTCCGAAGTTCTCTGTGCAGCTCAGCCACCTTTAACTCTTTCCCTTCCTCCCAAAAATCCTAAATCCAACCCCAAAATTCCCAAATCCATCGCTCAGGAGATCCCATACGCCTCAGTCAATTTTAAGTCATTCCCCTCCTCCTAAAAACCCTAAACCCGACCCAAAAAATCCCAAATTTCATCGGTCAGGAGATTCCGGAGTTCTCTGTGCAGCTCAGCCACCTTTAACCATTTCCCTTCCTCCTAAAAAAATCCTAAATCCATCCCCAAAATTCCCAAATCCATCGGTCAGGAGATCCCATACGCCTCAGCCACTTTTAAGTCATTCCCCTCCTCCTAAAAACCCTAAACCCGACCCTAAAATCCCCAAATTTCATCGGTCGGGAAATTCCGGAGTTCTTTGTGCAGCTCAGTCACTTTTAACTCTTTCCCTTCCTCCTAAAAAACCCTAAAACCGACCCCAGTATTCCCAAATCCATCAGGCGATCCCAGAGTTCTCTTCTACAGCTCAGCCACCTTTAACCATTTCCCTTCCTCCTAAAAAAATCCTAAATCCAACCCCAAAATCCCTAAAACCTTTTAAGGAGACCACAGACGCCTCAGCCACATTTAACTCTTTCCCTTCCTCCTAAAAATCCTAAATCCAACCCCAAGATTCTTAAATTCTTTTCTCAGTGGGTCCCGGAGTTCTCTGCTGCACCAGAAATTGTTTTCCGTCCTCCTAAAAATCCTAAATCCAACCCTAAAATTTCGAATTCCATCTGTGAGGAGATCCCAAACACCTCAGCCACTTTTAACTCTTCCCTTCCTCCTAAAAATCCTAAATCCAACCCCAAAAATCCCAAATCCATTCCTCGGGAGGTTCCGGAGTTCTCTGTGCAGCTCAGCCACCTTTAACCATTTCCCCTCCTCCTAAAAACCCGAAATCCGACTCCAAAATTCCTAAAACTTCTTAAGGAGACCCCAGTCACCTCAGCCGCTTTTAACTCTTTCCATTTTCCGAAAAATCCTAAATGCGACTCTAAAATTCCCAAATCCATCCCTTATGAGATCCCAAAGTTCTCTGTGCCGCTCAGCCACCTTTAACTCTTTCCCTTCCTCCTAAAAAACCCTAAATCCAACCCCAAAAATTCCAAATCCATCCCTCAGGAGGTTCTGGACTTCTTTGTGCACCTCACCCACCTTTAACCATTTCCCTTCCTCCTAAAAAAATCCTCAATCCAACCCCAAGATTCCTAAAATATTTTCAGGAGATCCCAGGCACCTCAGCCCCTGGAACTCTTTCTGCTCCTCCTAAAAAACCCCAAATCCAACCCCAAACTCCCAAATCCTTCCCTCAGGAGCTCCCAGAGTTCTCTGCTGCACCTCAACCTTTAACTCTTTCTCCTCCTCCTAAAAAACCCTAAATCCAACCCCAAAGTTCCTAAAACTTCTAAGGAAACCCCAGACACCACAACCACATTTAACTTTTTCCTTTCCTGCTAAAAAAATCCTAAATCCAATCCTAAATTACCCAAATCCATTCCTCAGGAGATCTCAGGCACCTCAGCCCCAGGAACTCTTTCCGCTCCTCCTAAAAACCCTAAATCCAACCCCAAACCCACAAATCCATCCCTCAGGAGATCCCAGAGTTCTCTGCTCCAGCTCAGCCGCCTTTAACTCTTTCCCTTCCTCCTAAAAACCCCTAAATCCATCCCAAAAAATCCCAAATCCATCCCTCAGGAGGTTCTGGATTTCTCTGTGCAGCTCAGCCACCTTTAACTCTTTCCCTTCCTCCTAAAAATCCTAAATCCAACCCCAAAATTCCCAAATCCATTCCTCAGGAGATCCCATACGCCTCAGCCACTTTTAACTCTTTCCCCTTCTCCTAAAAACCCTAAAACCGACCCTAAAATTCCCAAATCCATCGGTCAGGAGATTCCGGAGTTCTCTGTGCAGCTCAGCCCCCTTTAACCATTTCCCTTCCTCCTAAAAAAAAACCCTAAATCCAGCCCCAAAATTCCCAAAACTTTTTAAGGAGACTCCAGACCCCCCAGCCCAGGACCCATTTCCCCTCCTCCTAAAAATATCCTAAATCCAGCCCCAAAAATTCCCAAAACTTTTTAAGGAGACTCCAGACCCCCCACCCCCGGGACCCGTTTCCCCTCCTCCTAAAAATATCCTAAATCCAACCCCAAAATTCCCAGATTTTTGTCTTGCAAGTCCAGAATCCCGGGATTTTCACGTTCCTGGGAAACGGGGCGTGGATGTGGAACTGTGATCCCAAAACCCAATCCCACTTTTTTCACCGAGACAATGAAAACCTTTCCCTAAAGGATGAGGGAGGGATTGGAAAACAAATCCCAAGAAAAAATTGGGATGAACAGTGGGAATTTGCTTTGAAGAGCTGTTGGAAACCAGGATGGAATTCCAGGGTTAATTCCAGAAAATTCCCTTTTAGGAAAGTCCCATTAGGATGAACAGGAGGATTTAGGGAAGAGTGGGATTGAATGGGACAGGAATGAGCCGGGAGAGGCTGGAATTCCATGGGAATTCCCCACCTGGCTGCTGCTGGAATTTCTCCAGGAGTTTGGGAACCGGTCCAGCTCGATCGACAGGCCCCGGGAAAATTTTATTTTATTCCCAGGGAATTCTCAGCCCTTGGATCGGGATCAAGGGTTTGTCCCATCCTTTGGAGGGTTCCAGTTGGATTCATCCCGTTCCAGCTTTTCCAAACATTCCTTGAGCTCCGGCACCACCAGGATGGTTTTACTGTGGCCTCAGGAGTTGGTGGCCTTGGAATGGCCTTTCCATCCACATCCAGCTTTTCCCATCCGTATCCAACATTTCTCATCCATCTCCAACTTCCCATCCACATCCAACTTTTCCCATCCGTATCCAACATTTCTCATCCATCTCCAATTTTCCATCCACATCCAACCCTTCCCATCCCTATCCAACATTTCCCATCCATCTCCAACCTTTCCCATCCATATCCAGCATTTCCCATCTCCAGCTCTCCATCCACATCCAACCCTTCCCATCCATCTCCAACTTCCCATCCACATCCAACTTTTCCCATCTATATCCAACATTTCCCATCCATCTCCAACTTCCCATCCACATCCAACTTTTCCCATCTATATCCAACATTTCCCATCCATCTCCAACTTCCCATCCACATCCAACTTTTCCCATCTATATCCAACATTTCCCATCCATCTCCAACTTCCCATCCACATCCAACTTTTCCCATCTATATCCAACATTTCCCATCCATCTCAAATTTTACATCCACATCCAACTTTCCCCATCTGTACCCAACCTTTTCCATGCATCTCCAACTTTTCCCATCCCTATCAAACCTTTGGATATGGAGGAGAAACAGGAGAGACGAAATCTTGGAATTGGCTGCTCTGGAGAACCTTTGGAGGTCCCTTCCATTCCAAACATTCCGGGACTTTTTTCCTGTGGCCACAGGAGTTGGTGGCCTTGGAGTGACCTTTCCATCCCTATCCAACCTCTCCCATCCCTATCCAACCTCTCCCATCCCTATCCAACCTTTCCCATCCCTATCCAACCTTTCCCATCCACATCCAACTTTTCCCATCTATATCCAACATTTCCCATCCATCTCCAACCTTTCCCATCCCTATCAAACCTTTGGATATGGAGGAGAAACAGGAGAGACGAAATCTTGGAATTGGTTGCTCTGGAGAACCTTTGGAGGTCCCTTCCATCCCAAATATTCCAGGACTTTTTTCGTGTGGCCACAGGAGTTGGTGGCCTTTAAGTGACCTTTCCATCCCTATCCAACCTTTCCCTCCATCTCCAACCTTTCCATCCATCTCCAACCATTCCCATCCCCATCCAACCTTTCCATCCCTATCCAACTTTTCCCATCTATATCCAACATTTCCCATCCATATCCAACATTTCCCATCTCCAGCTCTCCATCCACATCCAACCCTTCCCATCCATCTCCAACTTCCCATCCACATCCAACTTTTCCCATCCGTATCCAACATTTCCCATCCATCTCCAACTTTTCCCATCCCTATCCAACCTTCGGATATGGAGGAGAAACAGGAGAGACGAAATCTTGGAATTGGTTGCTCTGGAGAACCTTTGGAGGTCCCTTCCATCCCAAATATTCCAGGACTTTTTTCCTGTGGCCACAGGAGTTGGTGGCCTTGGAGCGACCTTTCCATCCCTATCCAACCTTTCCCATCCCTATCCAACCATTCCCATCCCTATCCAACCTTTCCATCCCTATCCAACCTTTCCCATCCCTATCCAACCATTCCCATCCCTATCCAACCTTTCCATCCATCTCCAACCTTTCCATCCCTATCCAACCATTCCCATCTCTATCCAACCATTCCCATCCCTATCCCAAAATGTTTCTGGGATCATCATCCAAACATTCCTTGAGATCCGTCAGGACCCGGAGACGCCAAATCCCCAAATCATTCCAGGGAATCCCTCATTGTATCCCATTCCCAACATTCCATTGGGACTGGCAGAGATTTGGGAATATTTATGCCACCATCATACCCCATTCCTGATATTCCATCCAACTCAGGGATTTTGGGAATATTTATATCCCATTCCTGATGTTCCATCCAATTTAGGGATTTGGGGAATAATTATCCTACCGTTTTCCATCCCATTCCCAACATTCCATCGGGACCGGCAGGGATTTGGGAATATTTATCCCGTTCCCAACTTTCCATCCAACTCAAGGACTTTGGGAATATTTATCCCACCGTTTTCCATCCCATTCCCAACATTCCATTGGGACCGGCAGGGATTTGGGAATATTTATCCCATTCCTGATGTTCCATCCCTGTCATGGATTTGGGAATATTTATCCCATTCCCAATTTCCCATCCATCTCCAGGATCTGGGAATATTTATCCCATTCCCAATTTCCCATCCATCTCCAGGATTTGGGAATATTTATCCCATTTGCGATATTCCATCCACATTATGGATTTGGGAATATTTACCCCATTCCCAATTTCCCATCCATCTCCAGGGTTTGGGAATATTTATCCCATTCCCAATTTCCCATCCATCTCCAGGATTTGGGAATATTTATCCCATTATTCCATCCCCATAATGGATTTGGGAATATTTACCCCATTCCCAATTTCCCATCTATCTCCAGGATTTGGGAATATTTACCCCATTCCCAATGTTCCATCCATCTCCAGGATTTGGGAATATTTATCCCATTCCCGATATTCCATCCCCGTTAGGGATTTGGGAATATTTATCCCATTCCTGATGTTCCATCCATCTTCAGGATTTGGGAATATTTATCCCATTCCTGATGTCCCATCCACCTCCACGATTTGGGAATATTTATCCCATTCCCGATGTTCCATCCCCGTCATGGATTTGGGAATATTTATCCCATTCCCAATGTTCCATCCATATCCAGGATTTGGGAATATTTATCCCATTCCTGATGTCCCATCCCTGTCATGGATTTGGGAATATTTATCCCATTCCTGCTATTACCTTCCTGTCATGGATTTGGGAATATTTATCCCATTCCTGATATTCCATCCCTGTCAGGGATTTGGGAATATTTACCCCATTCCCAATGTTCCATCCATCTCCAGGATTTGGGAATATTTATCCCATTCCTGATGTTTCATCCCTGTCGGGGATTTGGGAATATTTATCCCATTCCCAATGTTCCATCCATCTCCAGGATTTGGGAATATTTATCCTATTCCCGATGTCCCATCCCTGTCAAGGATTTGGGAATATTTATCCCATTCCCAATTTCCCATCCATCTCCAGGATTTGGGAATATTTATCCCATTCCTGATATTCCATCCCTGTCAGGGATTTGGGAATATTTATCCCATTCCTGATGTCCCATCCCTGTCAGGGATTTGGGAATACTTATCCCATTCCCGATGTCCCATCCATCTCCAAGATTTGGGAATATTTATCCTATTCCTGATGTTCCATCCGTCTCCATGATTTGGGAATATTTATCCCATTCCCGATGTTCCATCCCTGTAAGGGATTTGGGAATATTTATCCCATTCCCAATTTCCCATCCATCTCCAGGATTTGGGAATATTTATCCCATTCCTGATATTCCATCCCTGTCACGGATTTGGGAATATTTATCCCATTCCCGATGTTCCATCCCTGCAAGGATTTGGGAATATTTATCCTATTCCCACTGTCCCATCCCTGTCATGGATTTGGGAATATTTATCCCATTCCCAATTTCCCATCCATCTCCAGGATTTGGGAATATTTATCCCATTCCCAATGTCCCATCCCTGTCAGGGATTTGGGAATATTTATCCCATTCCCGATGTCCCATCCATCTCCAGGATTTGGGAATATTTATCCCATTCCTGATATTCCATCCTGTCAAGGATTTGGAAATATTTATCCCATTCACGATATTCCATCCCCGTCATGGATTTGGGAATATTTATCCCATTCCTGATATTCCATCCCTGTCAGGGATTTGGGAATATTTGTAGGAAATGAGGCACATTCCCATGGAACATCCTTTTCCAGAATTCCCAACTTCCCATCCTCCTTTGTGACATTCCCAAATCCCAAAATTCCCCAGCTGGAACCCCTTGATTCCCACAAAATCCCGCGGGAACAATTCCAGAGGCATTTCCACGAACCAAAAATTCCCTTTTATTTACCTCGGGATCAGCCGGGATCCATGGGAACGGGAATGGGAAAATTCCCGCCTCCAGCTCCTTCCCAGCCGCAATTCCAGAGGGAAGGAAGGGAAATTCCTGGAATTCTTTTCTCCCAAGGTGCAGCAGAGCATTCCCGGTCTCCATGGAAACTCCGGCGCTGGAAAATTCCATCGGCTGCAACCCGAGCCGGGAATGGCTCCGAGGGATTTAAAGGGAAACGCCGCCGAATTCCCGAATTTTTCCCCAATTCCCAAAATCCGCCGGCAGAATTCCAAATGCTGAAGGTGAAGATTTCCCGTTTTTCCAGGGATTTCCCTGCAGCCAAAGGGATTTGAGAAGGATTTTCCTGGATTTTCCCAGATTTAATAAATTTATTAAAATTAAATAATAAATACAATTTAAATTAAATAAAATCAATTAAAATAATTTAAATTATGTTAAAGTATATGAAAATAATATTAAAATAAAATTTGAATAAAATTTAAATAAAATTTGAATAAAATTTAAATAACATTTGAATGACATTTAAATAACATTTGAATAACATTTAAACATTTAAATAATAATAAAAGTAAAGCAAAATTTCAAAATTCAGATAACAAAAATAAATAAAGGTAAAAATAAAAATTATATAGAAAGAAAATCAACAACGAGATAAAATTGGAATAAAAATAAAATTAAATAAAAATTGAATTAGTAAAAATAAAACCGGAATTAAATAAAGAAAAAGAAAATTAAAGAAGTGGAAATAAGGAATTGAAATTATAAAAAAGTTTAAGATAAAATAAATTAAAACAAAAATAGAGAAGGAGTAAATAAAAATAAGAATAAATACAACATAAAATAAAAACTAATAAATAAAAATTAAAAAGTTAAATAAAGAAAAATAATATTCAATACATATGAAACTTTTTGAAAATTATAAATAAAAAATAAAAATAAAGTTTAAGGGAAATTTTAAAAATAGAGGAAAAAATTAAAAATTTAATAAATTAAAATAGGAAAGAAGTATAAAATAAATTCAAAATAAAATTTAAAAATCCAAGGAAAAACCCTTCATTTTTAACAAATAAAAGAAATAAAAAGAAATAAAATTAAAACACCAGAAAATTGAGACTAAAACCTCTGGGAATAAAAGGAATGACCTGGAATTCCCATCCCAGAATTCCCAGAGTTGAAATTCCCAGCACTTGGAATGGATTCCCAGAAAATCCTCTTAACCAAATCCCAGATTTCCACAGTGTTTTCCAAAAGGAAAGAATTCCCTTCCCAAATCTCTGGGAATAAAATTAAGGATCTGGAATTCCCATTTTATGGACAGGAATGACCTGGAATTCCCATCTCAGAATTCCCAGATTTCATATTCCAATCACATTGGATGCATTCCCAGAAAATTCCCTGAACCAGATCCCAGATTTCCACAGCATTTCCCAGAATTCCATTCCCAAACCTCTGGGAATAAAAGGATGGGGCTGGAATTCCCATCCCAGAATTCCCATTGATATTTCCAGCACCTGGAATGAATTCCCAAAAAATTCCCTGAACCGGATCCTGGGATTTCCATTCCCAAAGCTCTGGGAATAAAAGGATGGAGCCAGAATTCCCATCCCAGAATTCCCATTGATATTTCCAGCACCTGGAATGAATTCCCAAAAAATTCCCTGAACCGGATCCTGGGATTTCCATTCCCAAACATCTGGGAATAAAAGGATGGGGCTGGAATTCCCATCCTGGAATTCCCATTGATATTCCAGCACCTGGAATGGATTCCCAGAAAATTCTCTGAACCAAACCCCAAATTTCCATAGCATTTTCCCAAAATTCCCAAAGTTCTGGGAATAAAAGGAAGGAGCTGGAATTCCCAACTGATGGACAAGAATGACCTGGAATTCCCATCCCAGAATTCCAAGATTTGATATTCCCAGCACTCAGAATGAATTCCCAGAAAATCCTCTTATCCACATCCCAAATTTCCATGGTGTTTTCCAAAAGGGAAAATTCCCGATTTTGCTTTGTTGTGGAATTGGGAATTCCGGGTTATTCCCCACAGATTGACCAGGCCCAGAATTCCCAAACCTCTGGAATCCAGGATTTCCCCATATTTGATCCCTTTCCTCTTCCAGAGGGAATTTTTTTAACCAAACCCAAAAACCCGAGGAATTCCTCGAGATCTCCCGCAGTTTTATCCCAATTTTTTGGAAAACAGGAAATTTGGGAAATCAGGGAAAATTAAGGAGGAGAGAGCGGGAGAGGAACAAGGAAAATCTTGGATGTAGGAGCCTCATTCCCAAAAAAAAAAAAAATCAGTGGGAAGAATTCCTTAAAATCTTGGAGCCTCAGCCTGGAATTCCAGAGGAAATTTGGGAAGTGGGAATTCCTTGTCGCGCTGCTGCCACCGCGTGGCTCTTCTCTCATCCCGAATTCCCAAGGATTTTCCCCTGGAAAATTCCCCCAAATCCAAAGACAGAATTGCTGGAATATTCCCAGGCTGATCCGTGATGAAACCTTGGAGCTGCTGGAATTTTCCTTCCCCGTGGGAATGAATTTGATCCTGGAATTCTCTCACATTCCCTAAAAATGTTGGGATACTCCCGGATCCTTTCTGTGCTGCCTGAAATCTCAGGATTCTCCCAGGGCAAAATCCCCAAATCCCAGAAATTCCGACATCAGGGAAGGTTTTGTGGGATTTTGGGATGGAATTCCCAGAAAATATCCCTGGAATATCCCGTGGGATCTTGGGAGTCTGTAGAACGGGATGAGCTTTAAATCCCCCAAAAATCAGGAATTCCACAAAATGCAGGGGAAGGAAATCATCCCTGAAATCCCAGAATTCCAAACATCGAGCTTGGCTTGAATCCCGGGATGGTTTTTTAATTAAAAAAAAAATCAAGAATTTCATTCCCTAAAGCAACAAGGTTTAGGGAATGAAAAAAAAAAAAACCTGGAAGGAAAAAACAAACTGAGGAAAAAAAAATAAAAACTGAGGGGAAAAAGAACTGAGGAAGGAAAAAAAACGGGAAAAAAAAAACAACTCCTGGAAAAAAAAAAAAAACTGGGGAAAAAAAAACTGGAAAAAAAAAATACAAAAAAAAAAACTGAGGAAAAAAACCCCTGGAGAAACAAAAACCAGGAGAAAGAAAAGAGAGGGGAAAAAACGGGATAAAAATGGGGAAAAAAAAAAAAGAAAAAAGTAAAGGAAAAGGGAAAAATGGGGAGAAATGGGGGGAAATAATGGGGGGAAATAATGGGGGAAAATAATGGGGGAAAATAATGGGGGGAAATGGAAAACATGGAAAAATAATGGGGAAAGAGGGGGGAAAGAGGGGGAATATGGAAAAAAATGGGGAAAATGGGGGAAAATGGGGAAAAAATGGAAAAAAATTTTAAAAGCTGGGGAAAAAATGGGGGAAAATGTCAACAAACGGGGGAAAAAAATGAGGAAGAAAAAAATGGGGAAAAAAACCCCGGGAGAAACAAAAAACAAGAGAAAGAAAGAAAAGAGAGGAAAAATACCGGGAGAAAAAATGAAAAAAGAAAAGGAAAAAATTGAGAGAAATGGGGGAAAATAATGTGGGAAAATTGAAAACATGGGAAAATAATGGGGAAAGAGGGGGGAAGAGGGGAAAATGGAAAAAATGTGGGAAAATGGGGAAAAAATGGGAAAAATGGAAAAAATGAAAAAAAAATGGAGAAAAAATGGGGGAAAATGTCAAAAACCGGGGGGAAAAAATGGGGAAGAAAAAACTGGGAAAAAAAAAACCCGGGAGAAACAAAAAACAAGAAAAAGAAAGAAAAGAGAGGAAAAATGCAGGGAGAAAAAATGAAAAAAGAAAAGGAAAAAATGGGGAGAAATGAGGGGAAATAATGGGGGAAAATTGAAAACATGGAAAAATAATGGGAAAAGAGGGGGGAAAGAGGGGAAATGGAAAAAATGGGGAAAATGGGGGGAAAAATGGGGAAAATGGGGAAAATAATGGAAAAAATGAAAAAAAATGGAGAAAAAAGGGGGGGAAATGTCAAAAACCGAGGGAAAAAAATGGGGAAGAAAAAACTGGGGGAAAAAAACCGGGAGAAACAAAAAAAAAGGAGAAAGAAAGAAAAGAGAGGAAAAATACCGGGAGAAAAAATGAAAAAAATGGGGAGAAATGGGGGAAAATAATGTGGGAAAATTGAAAACATGGAAAAGTAATGGGAAAAGAGGGGGGAAAGAGGGGAAAAATGGAAAAAATGGGGAAAATGGGGAAAAATGGGAAAAATGGGAAAAATTGAAAAAACTGGGGAAAAAATGGGGGGAAATGTCAAAAACCGGGGGAAAGAAAATGGGGAAGAAAAAACTGGGGAAAAAACCGGGAGAAAAAATGAAAAAAAGAAAAGGAAAAAATGGGGAGAAATGGGGGGAAATAATGTGGGAAAATTGAAAACGTGGAAAAATAATGGGAAAAGAGGGGGGAAAGAGGGGGAAAATGGAAAAAATGGGTAAAATGGGGGAAAATGGGAAAAATGGGAAAATGGAAAAAAAAATTAAAAAGCTGGGGAAAAAATGGGGGAAAATGTCAAAAACCGGGGAAAAAAATGGGGAAGAAAAAACTGGGGAAAAAAACCCGGGAGAAACAAAAAACAAGAGAAAGAAATAAAGAAAAGAGAGGAAAAATAAGGGGAGAAAAAATGAAAAAAGAAAAGGAAAAAATGGGGAGAAATGGGGGGAAATTATGTGGGAAATTTGAAAACATGGGAAAATAATGGGAAAAGGGGGGGGGAAGAGGGGGAAAATGGAGAAAATGGGGAAAATGGGAAAAATGGAAAAAACTGGGGAAAAAATGGGGGGAAATGTCAAAAAAATGGGGGGAAAAAATGGGGAAGAAAAAACTGGGGGAAAAAAACGGGAGAAACAAAAAACAAGAGAAAGAAAGAAAAGAGAGGAAAAATACCGGGAGAAAAAATGAAAAAAGAAAAGGAAAAAATGGGGAGAAATGGGGGGAAATAATGTGGGAAAATTGAAAACATGGAAAAATAATGGGGAAAGAGGGGGGAAAGAGGGGGAAAATGGAAAAAAATGGGGGAAATGGGGAAAAATAGGAAAAATGGAAAAAATGAAAAAAAACTGGAGAAAAAATGGGGGAAAATGTCAAAAAACGGGGAAAAAAAGAGAGAAAAGTGGGGAAAATGGAAAAAAATGGGAAAATGGGAAAAAATGGGAAAATGGGAAAAAATGGGAAAATGGAAAAAAATGGGGGGGGGAAGGGGGAAAAAAAGGGCTAAAATGGGAAAAAGTGATAAAAAATGGGAAAAGCACAAACTTGAAAAAAGCACAAACTTGAAAAAAACCTGGAAAAGAAACCGGGAAAACCGGGAAAAAAAACCTGGAAAGCGAAGCTGGAAGCGGCCGGAGCACGGGAATTCCTCCCGCGGAGCTCCCGCTGCTCCCGATCCCCCCTCCCGGGGCTCCGTCATCGACACCGCCTCATTAATTTAATTAATTAATTAACGGCTCCCAGTGCTGATCCCGCTCGGAGAGCGCTGCTGGAAAAGCCAGGCCGGGACTTTTCCCGATATCCCAAAAAAAATTCCAAGCTCGGCAGGAGGTGGAAAATCCCGGGAGGAAGGAGAAGATGGCGTGGGATCCAAACTGGGATTTTTTGGGATTTTCCTGCCTCGTCCTGCTCCGATCCCGACTTTCCCTGGCGCAGCTGATCGAGGTGAGGAAAAAAAATCCCTCTGGAAAAACCCTCGGGAAAAGTGGGAATGAGGGCCGGGAATGGGAGATTTCCCTGGAAAACAACCGGCTGGCAATTTAAGGTGGATCCAAGGAGGTTTTTTTGGGAATTTTTGGTGCTTCCTGAAAGGCTGAATTGGGAATTTCGGGTTGGAATCGCGGGGTTTTCCTGGTTTTCCAATGGTTTGAGGAGCAGGGCAAAAATTATCCTGAAAATCCCATTCTTGATGGATATTCCCATGAAATATTTGGAAAATTTTTGGAAATATTTGGGATGGGTTTTCCTTCTACTGCCTTCCCTCATTCCCAGTAGTCTTGGACTTCATGGGGTTGTAGAATTTCATGGAATTATGGGATTTTATGGAATTCCTGCCCCTCCACAGCAGCTTTTCCCTAAGGATGACTCTGCATTCCCAAATTTATGGAAAATGCGAGGAGGGAAGAGCGGCTCCGGAACCCTGGCTGCAATTCCAGAGGGAAATTCCTGCCTGGAACACAAATCCCAGTTCCCAAAAACTTTCACTTTCCCCCCTCTGGATCCTTTTCCCTGCTCCGCCTGGGAATTCCTGGAGCAAAATTTGGCTGTGATTTTTGGGATTGGAAAATTCCAGGAATTTCCCAGGATTCCAAACTTCTCATCCTTCCCCTATTCCAAACTTTTCCCTCAGGATTTCTGGCCTCTCATCCCTGCCCTTATCCAGATTTATTTTTCCAAAAGATTTCCAGCCTCTCCAGCCTCTTCTCCCTCCCTTTCCATATTTTTTTCCAGGATTTTAAACCTCTCATCCCTTTCCTTTTCCATATATTTTTCCTCCAAGATTTCCAGTCTGTCATCCTTTCCCTTATCCTGTTTTTTTCCAGGATTTCCCTTTCTATGTTTTTCCCAGGATTTCTGGCCTTTCATCCCTCCTTTCTCATTTTTCCTGGGATTTCAAATCTCTCATCCCTGCCCTTATCCTGATTTTTTCCAGGATTTCCCTTTCCATATTTTTTTCCAGGATTTCCATCCTCTCATCTCTCCCTTTCTATTTTTTTTTCCAGGATTTCTGGCCTCTTCTCCCTCCTTTTCCCATTTTTCCCCAGGATTTCCAGTCTCTCATCCTTTCCTTTTTCCTGATTTTTTTCCAGGATTTCTGGCCTCTTCTCCCTCCTTTTCCCATTTTTCCCCAGGATTTTCAGCCTCTCATCTTTTCCTTTTTCCTGATTTTTTCCAGGATTTCTGGCCTCTCATTCCCGACCGAATCCCATCCTACCTGAGCATTCCATAAATCCAGGAATCCTTTCCGAGGCCAGGCTGCTGCTCCAGGAAGAATTCCAGGTTTTCCAAGCTGTCCAACCATTCCCAAGGGGAGAAATGAGCCAGAACTTCCCCTGACAGTGCAGAATTCCCAAATTATCCTTCCCTGAATCCCAAGGACGACCCAGCCAGCCGGAAAATTTCCCATTTTTTTCCAGATAATTCCAAAAAATAAAAATAAAACATCCAAGCATCAAAAAACAGGATAATCAGTGAGAATTCCTGGATCTGCTTTGTTTATTCCAGGTTTTTTTTTCCCTGGAAAAGCAAAGGCTCTGTGAGGAGTTTATTCCTGGAAATAATTGGATAATGGAGTTATCCCGAATAATTCGATTCCGGCTCAGCCAGGCTGGAGCAGACAGAGGAGGAAAAAAAAGCTGGAGAAGAAAAGAATTCTGGTGGCTGAAAAAATTCCCAAAAAAACCCAAAAATAAGGAAAAATAAAGGGGGAAAAAGCAAGGAAATATTTGAAGCAAAAATCCCTTGAAATCTTGGATTTGATGGAGAAAAATCTTGGCTGGCTCCCAGGCCTTCGGAAAAATTCCCAGGGCTGGGAATTCTCCCAAAATTTGGGAAGAGAATCAGAAAATCCCAGGATGGGTTCGAAATCCTGAAATCCCAGGATGTGCCCCCAAATCCCTGCTTGATCCCAAAAATCCTTCCCTGCTCCTGATCCCAGAGATCAGCAAACAATGGGATATCCAGGGATTTCTCTGGGAATTGGATCCCGGATCCAAGCCAATCCCAGGAGGATAAATTGGGGATAATCCTTCATTCCCAGCTCGGGATAAAATTCCTGGAGGAATCTCCTCATTGCAGAGGGATTGCTCAGAAATCCCCTTCCCAAAAAATCGGGAATTGTTTTGGGCACCGGGTGTATTCCAGCTGTTTTCCAGCTGCTGCTCCAAGGTGTTCCCTAAAAATCCCATGGAATATTTATACAATTTCCATCCTTTAGGTTTAGGCTGAGTTTATCTTTCCATTAAGAAATTCCAAAACTTTTTATCCCAGAATTTCCGTGTGATTCCATGCTGCTTCCTCCTGGATCTCCAACATCCCGAGGATGTGTTTCCATTAAAATAAATTGGAAATGTGAAGGGAGGAATTTTTCCAGGAGTTTTTCCAGGAATTTTCTCATTCAGGCCCTCATTGATGGAGATCCCAATCCCTTAAATCCATTGGAAAAGCGGAGAAAGGAATTCCAGAGCGAGCCAAGGAATGGCTGGAAAAAGGAGATTCCTCCTGCTCCCATTCCTTAAAAATCCCTCCAACATTCCCAAATTCTTGAGCTCTCACCAACCTCTCCACCACTTCCCGTGCTCTCAACACTTCCCAGAGTATTTTTGGGAATTTTGCTGTCCTGATCCATCTTTTCCTGCTGGTTTTTCCCAGGCCACCACAGCTCCTCCCAAGAAAAAGCCGGATCCGGTGACGTCGGAGACCGTGGTGATCTGGGGGCTGCGCCTCTGGCAGGTGGTCGGGATCTTCGCCCTCTTCGTCCTTTCCATCAGTGAGTCCCGGAATTCCCAGGAATTTTCCTCTGGAAAACTCCCCAGGGTGCTCTCTGGAATCCCAGGAATGCACAAGGAGGGATTCTCTGGTGGGAATGGCCGGGGATTCATCGCCAGGGAGCACCTGGAGATATTCCAGGGATGGGAATCGGCTCCAGCAGCACATTCCCACCCCAATCCAGGATGGAGCCGTGGGCCTGAGAATCATGGAATGATGTGGGTTGGGAGTCATGGAATGATGTGGGTTGGGAATCATGGAATGATGCGGGTTGGGAATCATGGAATGGTGTGGGTTGGGAATCGCGGATTGCCTTGGGTTGGGAATTGTGGAATGATTCAGGCTGGGAATCATGGAATTATGTGGATTGGGAATGATGGAATGATGTGGATTGGGAATGATGGAATGATGTGGGTTGGGAATCATGGAATGGTGTGGGTTGGGAATTGCGGATTGCCTTGGGTTGGGAATCACGGAATGATTCAGGCTGGGAATAATGGAATTACGTGGATTGGGAATTGTGGAATGATTCAGGCTGGGAATGATGGAATGATGTGGATTGGGAATGATGGAATGATGTGGATTGGGAATCATGGAATGATGCAGGTCAGGAATCGTGGAATGCCTTGGATTTGGAATCGTGGAATGGGGAGGGTTGGGAGTCATGGAATGCCTTGGGTTGGGAATCGCGGATTGCCTTGGGTTGGGAATTGTGGAATGATTCAGGCTGGGAATCATGGAATTACGTGGGTTGGGAATGATGGAATGATGTGGATTGGTAATCATGGAATGATTCAGGCTGGGAATCATGGAATTACGTGGGTTGGGAATGGTGGAATGATTCAGGCTGGGAATAATGGAATTATGTGGATTGGGAATGATGGAATGATGTGGATTGGGAATCAAGGAATGATTCAGGCTGGGAATCATGGAATGATGCGGGTCAGGAATAGTGGAATGCCTTGGATTTGGAATCGTGGAATGATGAGGGTTGGGAATCATGGAATGATGCAGGTTGGGAATCATGGAATGGTGTGGGTTGGGAATTGCGGATTGCCTTGGGTTGGGAATTGTGGAATGATTCAGGCTGGGAATGATGGAATGATGTGGATTGGGAATCATGGAATGATTCAGGCTGGGAATCATGGAATGATGCGGGTCAGGAATCGTGGAATGCCTTGGATTAGGAATCGTGGAATGATGAGGGTTGGGAGTCATGGAATGCCTTGGGTTGGGAATCGTGGAATGGTGTGGGTTGGGAATCGCGGATTGCCTTGGGTTGGGAATTGTGGAATGATTCAGGCTGGGAATAATGGAATTTTGTGGATTGGGATTTGTAGAATGATTCAGGCTGGGAATCATGGAATGATGTGGATCGGGAATGATGGAATGATGTGGATTGGGAATCATGGAATGATTCAGGCTGGGAATCATGGAATGATGCGGGTCAGGAATCGTGGAATGCCTTGGATTTGGAATTGTGGAATGATGAGGGTTGGGAGTCATGGAATGCCTTGGGTATGGAATCGTGGAATGTGTCGGGTTGGGAATCATGGAATGATGTGGGTTGGGAATCGCAGATTGCCTTGGGTTGGGAATGTGGAATGATTCAGGCTGGGAATAATGGAATTATGTGGATTGGGAATCATGGAATGGTGTGGGTTGGGAATTGTGGAATGATGCGGGTTGGGAATCATGGAATGGTGTGGGTTGGGAATTGCAGATTGCCTTGGGTTGGGAATTGTGGAATGATTCAGGCTGGGAATAATGGAATTATGTGGATTGGGAATGATGGAATTATGTGGATTGGGAATCATGGAATGATTCAGGCTGGGAATCATGGAATGATGCGGGTCAGGAATTGTGGAATGCCTTGGATTGGGAATCATGGAATGATGAGGGTTGGGAGTCATGGAATGCCTTGGGTATGGAATCGTGGAATGTGTCAGGTTGGGAATTGTGGAATGTGTCGGCTTGGGAATTGCGGAATGTGTCGGGTTGGGAATTGCGGAATGCGTTGGGTGAGTTTCCTGGATTGCTTTCAGGTGTCCAGGAATTCGGGATTTCCTCTGGGCAGGAATTCCCAGCTGAGTGTGGGAATTCCAGAGGGAGGTCCCAGCCCTAAACTGGAGATTCCCACCTGGAATCCCTTCCAAGATCATTCTGTCCCTGGGAGTGATCCCAGAGTTTCCTGGATTCCCTGCAGGTGTCCTGGATTTTGGGAATTCCTCTGAGCCGGAATTCCCAGCTGGGGGTGGGAATTCTGGAGGATTCCCTTCAGGTGTCCTGAAATCTGGGAATTCCTCTGGGCTGGAATTGAGAATTCCAGGGGAATCCAAACTGGAAATTCCCACCTGGAATCTCTTTCTGAGGGAATTCCTTCCCTGGGAGTGATCCCGGAGTTTCCTGGATTCCCTTCAGGTGTCCGGGAATTTGGGAATTCCTCGAGGCTGGAATTCCCAGCTGGGAATGGGAATTCCAGAGGGATTTCCCAGTGGGAATGCAGAGTAAGAATGGCCCAAGCTCCGCCCCCATCCCTGCCAGGGATGGGATTTGGGATGGAGAAAATCCATGGAAAACGGGGAATTGGGAAATGGAATGACACACAAAAATAGGGAATTAAAAATAAAAATAAATATAAAAATGGGGAATAAAAAAAAAAGTATAAATTTAAAAAATAAATAGAAAAATGGAACATTTAAATATATAATTAAATATAAATTAGTAAATCTATTGTATTACATTACATTGAATGAAATATGAAAATAGGATTTAATCAATACCAAAAAAATAGAAAAAATAAAATAGGAAATTAAAAATTAGAAATTAATTCAAAAATGTAACATTTTAAAATAGAATTCATATCACGTTATAAAATTCAAAATATAATTAAATGTAAAATATAAATTAAGAAATGGAAATAATTTTAAAACTGAAACAAGAACTAAATATAAATATAAATAAAATAGAAATACAGAAATTATGCTTTAAAGGTAATTGGGTTGTAAATATAATTTAAATTAGTATTACAGTGAGTATTACTTTATCAATGACCTATTCATTTAAAATAATTTTTATTATTATAAAGTATTAGAATTAATTAAAATTATATTTATGGAATAATAGAGTTATGTATTAGAAATAATAATGTTATAACTGATTGTAATTACAGTTATAATTAATAACTTCATTTTCATTATTATAATAAATAAGGAAATAAAATTAAGTAATTTAAGCTATATGTATTGAATAATATATTTATATTTTATTATTAATAATATATGTATCTAATGACATAATATTTTCTATTATAGTTATAATAAATAATTTTATTATAATTATTATTTTATTAAAGAAGGAAATAAAAAGAATTAATTAAATAAATTAAATTATCGTAACGGAATATATTTCCATGTCATAAATAAAAATATATTTCTAGACTAAGATAATTAATTATAATTATAGCTATAATCGTTTAATTGTAATAAATATTTAATATATATTAATATAAATAATGAAGATTGAATAAATAATATTTACTTGATCTAAATATATTTCAGTGTTACAAATACTAACATATTTTTATTATACAATAATTATAATTCAAGTTATAATAATTAATTAGAACAATATAAAATTTCAGACATGTTTACGATAATTATAAATAACAAATAATAAATATTAAATAAACAATAAATATTCAATCTAAAGATATTGCTATATAAGAAATATTTAGAAATATATAGAAATATATAGTTATAAGGAATAATGTATTTACATAATAATGTAATTAATTACTATTATAGTTATAATAATATAATATTAAATATTGATTATAAGTAGTTATACATAATAAAGATATTATAAATTATAAATATTTAACGCACGTTTTTACGTTATAAATAATATTTTCTATAGCATGATCATTAATAAGAGATATATTTTAATTAATTGTTCTCATAATATATTTATTGAATATTTGATAAATTAATATTAATGTTTATATTAACGTTAATATTAATAAAATTAAGCAAAATAAATCAAATCAATCCAGAAATCTGATCCAAGTGCGGATTCCAACTCCCACAAGGTGGCACCATCCCATAATAAACGGAGGAAAATCCCAATTCCAGGTTTTCCATTGCCAGCCCCTCCTCGTTTCCCATTGCCATTCCCAGCAACTCACTCGGAATTCCTCAATTCCCATTCTCAGTAATTCCCCCAGAATTCCATATATCCCATTCCCATTAACTCACCCAGAATTCCATGTTTCCCACTCCCAGGACCTCACCCAGAATTCCACATGTCCCATTCCCAGTAACTACCACAGAATTCCACATGTTCCATTCCCAATATCTCCCCCAGAATTCCATGTGTCCCATTCCCAGTCCCTCACCCAGAATTCCACGTTTCCCGTTCCCAATCCCTCACCCAGAATTCCACATTTCCCATTCCAATTCCCTCACCCAGAATTCCATGTTTCCCATTCCTGGTCCCTCACCCAGAATTCCACGTTTCCCATTCCCAATAACTCACCCAGAATTCCACATTTCCCATTCCCAATAAGTCACAGAGAATTCCACGTTTCCCATTCCCAGTCCCTCACCCAGAGGTCCACGTTTCCCATTCCGAATAACTCACCCAGAATTCCACGTTTCCTGCTCCAAATCCCTCACCCAGAATTCCACATTTCCCATTCCTGGTCCCTCACTGAGAATTCCACGTTTCCCATTTCCAGTCCCTCACCCAGAATTCCGCCTTTCCCATTCCCAATAAGTCACAGAGAATTCCACATTTCCTCTTCCCAGCCTCTCACCCAGAATTCCACATTTCCCATTCCCAGTACTTCACCCAGAATTCTGCATTTCCCATTCCCAATCACTCACCCATAATTCCACGTTTCCCATTCCCAATAAGTCAGCCAGAATTCCACATTTCCCCTTCCCGGTCCCTCACCCAGAACTCCACCATTCCCATTCCTGGTCCCTCACCCAGAATTCCACGTTTCCTGCTCCCAATCCCTCACCCAAAATTCTGCATTTCCCATTCCCAGTCCCTCACCCAGAATTCCACGTTTCCCATTCCCAATCCCTCACCCAGAATTCAACGTTTCCCATTCCCAGTCCCTCACCCAGAATTCCACATTTCCCATTCCCGGTCCCTCACCCAGAATTTCACATTTCCCATTCCCAATAACTCACCCAGAATTCCACATTTCCCATTCCCAATAACTCACCCAGAATTCCACGTTTTCCATTCCCAATAAGTCAGCCAGCATTCCACATTTCCCATTCCCAGTCCCTCACCCAGAATTCCACATTTCCCATTCCCAGTCCCTCACCCAGAATTCCACATTTCCCATTCCCGGTCCCTCACCCAGAATTTCACATTTCCCATTCCCAATAACTCACCCAGAATTCCACGTTTCCCATTTCTGGTACCTCACCCAGAATTCCACATTTCCCATTTCCAATAACTCACCCAGAATTCCGCGTTTCCTGCTCCCAGTCCCTCACCCAGAATTCCACATTTTCCTTTCCCGGTCCTTCACCCTGAATTCCGCATTTCCCATTCCCAATAACTCACCCAGAATTCAATGTCTCCCATTCCCAGTCCCTCACCCAGAATTCCACGTTTCCTGCTCCCAGTCCCTCACCCAGAATTCCACATTTCCCATTTCTGGTCCCTCACCCAGAATTCCACATTTCCCATTCCCAATAAGTCACCCAGAATTCCACATTTCCCCTTCCCAATCCCTCACCCAAAATTCCACATTTCCCATTCCCGGTCCCTCACCCAGAATTCCGCGTTTCCCATTCCCGGTCTCTCACCCAGAATTCCGCGTTTCCCATTCCCAATAAGTCACAGAGAATTCCACGTTTCCAATTTCCAGTCCCTCACCCAGAATTCCACATTTCCCATTCCTGGTCCCTCACCCAGAATTCCACATTTTCTATTCCAGTTCCCTCACCCAGAATTCCACAGTTCCCATTCCCGCTCCCTCACCGAGAATTCCACGTTTCCTGCTCCAAATCCCTCACCCAGAATTCCGCGTTTCCCATTCCCAATAACTCACCCAGAATTCCATATTTCCCATTCCCGGTCCCTCACCCAGAAGTCCACGTTTCCTGCTCCCAGTCCCTCACCCAGACTTCCACGTTTCCCATTCCCGGTCCCTCACCCAGAATTCCACATTTCCCATTCCCAGTCCCTCACCCAGAATTCCGTGTTTCCCAGTCCCAATAACTCACCCAGAATTCCACATTTCCTGCTCCCAGTCCCTCACCCAGAATTCCACATTTCCCATTCCCAATCCCTCACCCAGAATTCCACGTTTCCTCTTCCCAATCCCTCACCCAGAATTCCGCATTTCCCATTCCCAATAACTCACCCAGAATTCCACGTTTCCTGCTCCCAGACCCTCACCCAGAATTCCACGTTTCCCATTCCCGGTCCCTCACCGAGAATTCCACGTTTCCCATTCCAAATAACTTACCCAGAATTCCACGTTTCCTGCTCCAAATCCCTCACCCAGAATTCCACATTTCCCATTCCCAGTCCCTCACCCAGAATTCCACGTTTCCCCTTCCTAGTCCCTCACCCAGAATTCCACATTTCCCATTCCAGTTCCCTCACCCCGAAGTCCACGTTTCCCCTTCCCGGTCCCTCACCCAGAATTCCGCATTTCCCATTCCCGCTCCCTCACCGAGAATTCCACGTTTCCCATTCCCAATAAGTCACCCAGAATTCCACATTTCCCATTCCCAGTCCCTCACCCAGAATTCCACATTTCCCATTCCCAGTCCCTCACCGAGAATTCCACGTTTCCTGCTCCAAATCCCTCACCCAGAATTCTGCATTTCCCATTCCCAGTCCCTCACCCAGAATTCCATGTTTCCCATTCCTGGTCACTCACCCAGAATTCCATGTTTCCTGCTCCCAATCCCTCACCCAGAATTCCACATTTTCCCATTTCACAGTCCCTCACCCAGAATTCCACGTTTCCCATTCCAAATACCTCACCCAGAATTCCACCTTTCCCCTTCCCGGTCCCTCACACAGAATTCCACATTTCCTGCTCCGAGTCCCTCACACAGAATTCCACGTTTCCCATTCCCAGTCCCTCACCCAGAATTCCACGTTTCCCATTCCCAATCCCTCACCCAGAATTCCACATTTCCCATTCCCAATCCCTCACCCAGAATTCCACGTTTCCCATTCCCAATAAGTCACCCAGAATTCCCCATTTCCCCTTCCCGGTCCCTCACCCAGAATTCCACGTTTCCCATTCCCAATAACTCACCCAGAACTCCACATTTCCCATTCCCAGTCCCTCACCGAGAATTCCACGTTTCCTGCTCCAAATCCCTCACCCAGAATTCCACGTTTCCTGCTCCAATTCCCTCACCCAGAATTCCACGTTTCCCATTCCCAATAAGTCACCGAGAATTCCACGTTTCCCATTCCCAATAAGTCAGCCAGAATTCCACATTTCCCATTCCCAATCCCTCACCCAAAATTCCACATTTCCCATTCCCAGTCCCTCACCCAGAATTCCACGTTTCCTGCTCCAAATCCCTCACCCAGAATTCCACGTTTCCCATTCCTGGTCCCTCACCCAGAATTCCACGTTTCCCATTCCCAGTTATCACGCTGTGCTGCATCTTCAAGTGCCGGATCCCGCGCACGCGGAAGGAGATCGAGGCTCGCTACGCCCAGCGCCAGGCGGCCAAAAACTACGCGGACAAACTGGACACGGTGCCACCCCTGGGCGAGCTCACCGAAATTCCCGGAGGTAATTCCTACTTTTTTTTGGAATTCTGGCAGTGCAAAGTCCCTCAAAGAGCTCAGTGACATTCCCAGAGTTAATTCCCACTTTATTTTGAGATTGTGGCAACACAAAGTCCCTCAATGAGCTCACCAAGATTTCCAGAGGTAATTCCCACTTTTTTGGGGGGATTCTGGCAGTGACCTTCCCAGTGGTAATTCCCACTTTTTTTTTTTGGGACTATGGCAGTGCTAAGTCTATCAAAGAGCTCACCGACATTCCCGGAGGTAATTCCTGCTTTTTTGGGGCATTCTGGGAGCTCAAAGTCCCTCCCGTGGTGCCACCCCCAGTGTCAACCCTCCCAGCACGGACTCAGGATATTGGGATAAAATCCTTTGGATAAGAGGGAACTTTTCTGTAAGTTCGAGTCGGAATCATTTCTTCATTCCCAAATTAGGTTTGGAAAAGCTTCTCAAATCCATCAAATCCTATTTTGAACCAAACCCTACTAAAAATCCTGTGGAATTCCACATCTCCTGGGTTTTGGGACCCTTCCAGGGATGGTGATTCCGACACTTCCCAATCCTTATTCACACCCTATTAGGAATTTTTTCCCCTAATATTCAATCCAAACTTTTCCTGGGACATCTGGAGGCCGTATCCCATTTTCCCATCAATTTCAATCCCTCACCCTCCTTAGTTAGAAGGGGAACTCCACGTTGAAAATTCTCAGTGGGAATGAATTTCATTTCAGGGCCTGCCCTTGGGTTGGGGAATACCAGGAGCGAAACTGGAGTGGTTGGAATTCCACATTCCCGGTTTTTCCTGCTGGAATGTTTCTTCTCCGCTGCTCTCATTCTCCTTTCCTGATTCCATAGGCTCTCCTGAAAATCTCCTCACTCTCTCTGGCCACGGCCAGTCCAGACCTCTCCACTCCCTGCCTGTGCTGAAGGAAGAGGATGAGATGGTTTTCCAAGGAATTTAGGGAATTTTGATTCCCAGCTGCCTGTGGCTTCTCTTTTCCAAGGGGATCCATCAATCCTTGGATTTGCTGATTCTCCATTCCTGGATTTTTCCTGTTTCCTCAACACCTTTTGATGACTTTTTTTCTCCTTCTTTCCTGTGTATCTCCGGGATCTGTAATTCCATAAAAATGGCATTTCCGAAATTTGGAATGTGCTGCTTCAATCCGTGGGAAAAGAGGCAGATCCCACCATTGTAGGAATTCAGGAATTCCTTGGGGAAATTCAGTCCTACACCAGCAAAATACGGAATTATGAGCTGAACAACGGGAATTTGCACAAATCCCACAGTTTCAGGGGTGCCTGAATATGGGAATTCCAAACCCTCCCTCTGGAGCTGAACTCAATTCCATGAATAAATCCTTGTCCTTCCACTGAATCCTTGTCCTTCCAATTAATCCTTATGGGATGAGATGGTTCTCCAAGGAATTTAGGGAATTTTGATTCCCATCCGCCTGTGGCTTCTCTTTTCCAAGGGGATCCATCAATCCTTGGATTTGCTGCTTCTCAATTCCAAAAAAACCTCACCGGGAGCAATCAGCTGGATGGAAAAATCCCCAGTTGGAATATCTTCCCTTTATCCCAGATTTCTAGCAGGGAGCTGGAATTTTGACAATTCCTGGGTTGTTGAATCCACATCAATTCCTTTCCTGTTTTGTTTTTTTTTTTGTTTTTTTTCCTATCCTTGGAAATAGCTCAGGTTGCAGAAGAAAAAAAAGAGGAAGAAGTTCCCACTGTGTCCGGAAAAGTGGACAAGGCTCAGGGAAAGAAGGATGGATCCAAAGGCTCCAAGAAAAAGGACGGGGAGAAGGAGCAGAAGGAAGAATCCAAGAAGGAAGGGAAGGACGGAGCCAAAAAAAAAGACGGAGAAAAGGGGGAGAAAGGGGAAAAAGGAGGAAAAGAGGAAAAAGGGGGGAAAGGAGAAAAGGGGGAAAAGGAAAAGGGGGAAAAGGGAAAGGACACAAACGACAAGAAACAAGGGAAAAAGGGGGAGAAAGAAGGCGAAGCTGGAAAATCCGGAGGCGCCAAAACTGACGGAAAAGCCGGTGGGAATTCCAAAGCTCCGGCAAAGAAGAAGTGACATCCCAGAAGGATGGGGCTGGAATTTTTTTTGGGAATGCTCTGGCAAATTGCTGGGGGAGGAGCACTTGGAGCAGGATGTGCTTTTCCAGATATTCCTGTGGGATACTCTTGGATGCATGGATTTCTTCCCATTGGGAGATGGAGCCATCGGGATTCGGCTCTGCGAAGGAAAACTGGGAATTTGGTTGCATAATCAAGAAAAATATCCAGTGGGAATTGGATAGACGTGAACCAGAAGCTGGAATGGGAATGAGGACTTTGGATAAACATGGGAATGCTCAGGGATAAGGATCCAAACTAAAGAAGAATGGGATTCATCCTGAATTTCTTCTCCTGGGGGACCTGGAGAAGTTGGAGAAAGATTTCCTGGCACTCAGCACCTCCTCGTGGGGAATTTTAGACATTATGTAAATTCTGGGAAAATCCCAAAGGATGGAATTTTCCAAGGTGTGGCTCCTGTGGATTCCAAGAGGTTTTTGGGAACATGGGAATTTTTCCTTCCTTCTCCAGTGCCTCTTTCCCAGGATTGTTGCTGGAAACACCAGGAATTCCATCTTTTCCCGGAGATTTATCAACATTTTCCCAACTTTTTTGCTGAGGAAGGCCAGTTCTGAGACCAGGAATTCCGCTCTGCTTCCATGTGGTTGCTATTGCCTCCCTTCCCAGGAATTCCTGTGGAGTGGATTTATCCAGAGCGGCATTTTCCAGCTCTATTGGGAATATTCCAGCAATTTCTGCCTTAAAATTTTCAGTTGGGGGGATTTAACTCTGGATTTTTTTGGGGATAACATGGAAAATCTTGGGATAATTAAAATTCAGGATATCCTGGAGCTGTTTGCTCCATAAGGAGAATTCCCTCCAATCCTTTATCCCCAGGAATGGGATTTATTTGATATTTAATTGATTTTTTTTGTTTGTTTTTGTTTTTGTTTTTTTTTTGTTTTCAGCTGTTTTCCAGCTGTTTTTCCAACCTGGATGTATCAGTGCCAAGATTTTTCCCACTTTTCCTTTTCCCAATTTTCCTTTCCCTTCTGTCCCACCCAACTCATCCTGGTGGGAAATGAGCCTGGAAAATTGAAGGGAATTTTCTGTCTCAGTGAGGTCGCTCAGCTCCAAAATGTCCCAAAATTCCAGAGCACCTGAAAAGGCAGAAAACTTAAGGAGAGACATTGGCAATGATGTTCAGAAACCTGGGAATGTTTGGGAAGAGAATGATCCAGGGAAATCTGGAATTCCAACATTGGGAATTCTGTGCCTGGACACAGAGGAGCCCTAAATCTCCATCCTTGGAATGGCACTGATAGAAAAGTGGGAATAGGGATACAAAGATTGGATTTCTTTGGAATTTCCAACCCAATCCAAATTTTTCAAGGCCGTTTATAATCAGGAACCATGACAAAAAAAAAAAAAAAAATTTTCCATTGGCTTCAGGCTTTGCTCCCTGGGATCTGCTGGATCCATGGGAATTTTGGGAAAGGATATTTATGCCTTAAAAACTCCAGGATGGGATCCAACTGGGATTGGGACAGGAAAACTCAGATTCCTGTCCTGCAGTTGGAATCGTGCTGGAAATTTGGGATGTGGCTCTATTTGGAGGGAAGAGGAGTGGATTTATTCCTGATCCAAAGGTTTCCAGGAGGAAAATCCGCTCCTTCTCTTTTCCATGGAATTCCTTCTCCCTCATCCAACTTCCATCCCTATCTTGTTAAAAATAATCAAAATCTGAAATAAAATATTCATTGGGATTGGGGAATCCTTTAAAATACATCTCAGTCCCTTTTTTCCAAACAAATATTCCAAATCCTTTGGATCTGTTCCAAAAGGTTTGTGGGAACGTCATATTGATTTTAAAAAAGGACTTTCCATTAAAAAAAAAAAATTATCCTTTGGGAATAATTGGGTTTGGAATTATCAGAATGAGAGTGAAATGTAGGGAATCCATTCGTAGGATCAGGGAATCCATTCCTGGGATCAGGGAATCCATTCCTAGAGTTTCCAGGGATCACCCTGCCCATAAAATTCATCCCAATTCCTGAAGTGGAAACAGAGGGAAGAAATTCCCAGCCCAAATTCGATGTTTTCCCTGTTCCAGTGGGATCTGGAGGTCAGGAGTGAAAAAAAAAGGTGGAAAACTCCAGCCCAGAGTATTTCCAGCACCTTGGGAGTTGCTTTTCCACCAGCAGATGGAGAAAATGCCTTGGAAAAGCCACAGCCATGGGAAGGAATATTTAGTGGCAAATTAGATTTATTGTCCCGGATTTGGGTGGAAATGGAATTCCAGATGCCAAAAGTTGCATTTAATTCTCAGAAATCCAGGGAATAATGACAGGATCACTCATTTTCTTGGATTCGGGTGACACTGGTTCTGGAGGAGGAAAAATCTCCCAGCCAGGACCGGGAGTAAATTCCAGGATCTCCACATATTCCAGAAATTCCCACTAGAGGGCATCTTGTCTGGGATATTAGACCCAGATTTAAGGAACCTGGGCTTGTTTGGGATGAGAAATTAAGCTGGATTTGGGAAATCTTCCAGATAAAATTGCTCCTGGTGCTGGTTTCTCCCAATTTTCTCCCTGGATTAGCTTTCCATGGAAAATAGAAGGAAAAATTGAGTGCTCCAGCATTTGTTAGACACATTCCCAGCCCGCCTGGAAAGGGATTGGGCTGTTCCCTCGGTCCTGCCCCAGTGCCCAGGAATGTGGAGCCCATGAAAAAACCTGGAAAAGGGGGAATGGTGCCGGCTCAGCCCTCCGGCAGCGGGAGAAGTGACCTGAGTCCCGGGCTCTTGTGGGACATTTGTGGGACATTTGTGGGACATTCCCGTACCTTGTTAAGCAGCTCCTGGAAAATCCCCCTCGGGAATACCAGGAACCTCCTGACCCATCTTGGACTGAAGCCAGGGAAGCAAATCCATGAAAAACACGTCCCTGCTCTCACCTCTGGGAATTTCCCAAGGGCAAAGTCGGGTTTGTGGCTTTTCCAAGGTAATCTCAAGGAAAAGGATGAGGGGTGAATGTGGATGGGCAGGAAAACAAATTCCACAGGATTTTGTGGAATTGTCACCTGAGCCGGATTTTGGTGTTGGGATCGCATCTCTCCGTACAATCTATGTGGAGAAATGAACATTTTGGGAATATTTCCCATCAGCCCAATTTTGGTGTTATTCACGGGAAGAGAGGAATCTCTCCCTCACTTCAGGAATTCTTCCCTTAATCCCATCAAAGACCCTTCCCTCTTGGACTGAACCCAGGGAAGCAAATCCATGAAAAGCACACCCCCAGTGAGGTCCTGCTCTCGCCTCTGGGAATTTCCCAAGGGCAAAGTCAGAGGAACTCCTGATTTGAGGCTTTTCCGAGAAAAAGGAATGAGGGGGAGTGTGGGTGAGCAGGAAAATAAATTCCACAAGGTCTTGTGGAAGTGTCACCTCAGCTGGGTTTTGGTGTTGGGATCGTGGATATCTCCAGAGAAATCCACGTTATCCATATAATCAGCATGGAGAAATGAACATTTTGGGAATATTTCCCATCAGCCTGGTTTTGGTGTTTGCTGTGGGAAGAGAGGAATCTCTGCCTCAGTTCAGGAACTCTTCCCTTAATCCCACCAAGGATACTGGAGAAAAGGAGGCTCCTGGGGCACCTCCTAGCTCTGACAGGAGGGGACGGCCAGGGGGAAAATTTGGGATCTGCTCCCCAGAAACAGGGACAGGAGAAAAGGGAATAGCCAGGAGACATTCAGGTTGGACATCAGCAGGAATTTCCTCATGGAAAAGGTGGCCAAGGATTGGAACTGCCCAGGGAGGTTTGGAGTCCCCATCCCTGGAGGGATTTGTTATCCATGTGGCACTTGGGGTTTGAAGTGTGGGCTTTACAATTTTAGACAATGGAAACCAATCCATGATTCCAAAAAAAAAAGCAGGAGAAGGGTGCTGAAGCCACCTGGCTTCCAGGAATGGAAGATGCAAACTTCAGGTATTCCAGTATTCCCTGAACATCCATGGAATGCACCTGGTTTTCCAAAGAGTCACCAGACGTTTCCATGAGGATGGATCCCATGGATCCCGGAAGGGTCTGGAGAGGGTAAGGGAGTGCTCAGGAAAAAAACAGGAATGACACAAGAATCCCAAATCTCTGAAGCTGAGGGGGGTTTTTCAAAGCTTTTCTTTTTGCCAGCTGCATGTGAATTTCATTGGAGAATTTATCCAAATCCCAATTTGTTTTTTTTTTGTTTGGGCAAAGTAAAACATTATTCTTATTTATGGCAACTTCTGGATCATGCTCCCATTTTCTATTGGAATAAGGAAGCCAAACTCCTCCAGAAGCTCTTTCCTTGCGCCCACTTCAGTGTCAGCGTCAGGAATGAGGTGTTTGGATTGAAACCCCAAAATCCTGGAATGGTTTGGGTTGGATCATCTCATTCCAACCCCTTGCCATGGCCAGGGACACCTTCCACCAGAATCAAAGGATCAGGGAGCTTTATCCAGGTTGGAATTATCCAAAACCAGGGAAGCACGGCAAGAAAGAGGAATGGTTTCTATGGCAACCGTTCACCCCTGCTCCCACCATTCCTCTTTCCATTCCTGGTTTTTTTTCTTCCACCTTCCTGCCCTTTCCTGTCCCAGTCTGGCACCTCAGGAAAGCCAAGGAAAAGAGACGTTGGAATCCAAAATGCAGGGAATTCTCAGAACTTTGGGCCTCTACGCCAAAGCTTAGAATTAAACCCAGGATTTGATCTGAGACCTTGGAAAAGGCTCCCAAACTGAGGTGCAAGAAGGGAGAATGTGGATTTATAGTTTAAAGCACAGACATGTTAAGCTGAGAAGATGAAAGTGTAGAGTTTTATGGTTTAAGACAAATAAATAATAATTTATATTTAATTATTATAATTAATAATAAAATAATAAAAGCAGTTACAGAGGTAAACAAGGTTTAGAATGCAGCACTGTAGGTTTGTGTGCCATAACATGATTGGCTAAGAAAGCTCACACTGTAACACGGGTCCATAAGACAAAATACATAAGGATATAATCTTAATATTTAGGACATAGTTAAGGATATCATATTTAAGGACAAAATATTTAAGGTCAGAAACATAAATATCCTTGTTGGCAGTGTTTTATTGGTCAGTTAATCCTTAAAAGGTTTGTAACTAAGGGTCTTGTGACCTTCTGAGCCGTGCTATGAGGATGTGAGCTGAGCTCACCCTTCCTGCCTGTGTAGAGGATAAGAAAATAAATCCCATCATCAAAACCAACTCCGAGATCCTGTCTCTAACTCATCCAAAGTTCTCTCCAAAATGCCCATAAGAGAGGCTCCCCCGGCACTGCTGCTCTTGGAGCTTTTCCCTTTTCCTTTCAGGATTTGTCACCAGGAATTTGGGATATCGCCGGGAATGAGCAGGTTTAGCTTGGAGATCAAAAAAAAATCCTGTGAGGGTAGGGAAGGGCTAGGATGGAATTCCCAGAGAAGCTGTGGCTGCCCCTGGATCCCTGGAATTGTCCAAGGCTGGGTTAACACTTGGAGCACCCTGGGACAGTGGGAAGTGTCCCTGGCATGGGGTTGGAACTGGATATTCTTGAAGATCTTTAAGATCCCTAATAATTCCAAAATTCCATGATTTTGATTTTGTTCCAGTTGGGACTTTGAGGCGAAGTAGATGAACTCAGCATCAGCATGGAGGGAAAATATTCCAACATTCCCTGAGGGATTCCAAACCTTGGCCTCCAGCTCCAAAAAGATCTCATAACTCCCAAAATCCCTGATATTGCCTCAGCTTAAATCCACCTTTAATTCCAAACTCAAGATCCATTTAAACTCAACGTGGGAAGGAATTCCTGGCTGGGAGGGGGAGGAAGGGCTGGGATGGAATTCCCAGAGCAGCTGTGGCCGCCCCTGGATCCCTGGAAGTGCCCAAGGCCAGGTTGGACACTTGGAGCAGCCTGGGACAGTGGGAGGTGTCCCTGCCTGTGGGATGAGATGCTCTTTAAGATCCTTCCAACCCAAAGCATTCCAGGATTTTGTAATTCCATTGTGTCTGGCTGGGGAATGTGAATGTGCAGGGACTCGATTTTCTGGGATGAGGCTGGAATTAAAGCTGTCAATGGGTGTGGGTGGAGTGGAATTCCATGAGGGAGGGAAATTACTCCAGATCCGGGCACGGCGAGGCAGGAATTTCACCAGCATTGCCCATTCCCGGCTCTCCTTGCTGTGGGATCCCCTCCTGGAATCGCTTTTCCAGCCCCCACAAATCATGGGATGAGCGATCCCTTGGGAATGGTTTTCCTCTCTGTTTTCCCAGTGGTTTTCCCAGCAGCTGAGCTGCTGGAATTCCAGGCTGTGGTGTCAGCGTGTCCACGGGGATGGGCCAGGCTGGAACTCCAGTTGGATTAATCCCTGTAATTAATTCAGGATCAGCTGCAAGGTCCTAAAGGCACAAGGCAGCACCTCCACGAAATACTTTTGGGATTTGGGAATGGAATCAATTGTTCTCACTTGTGCCAGGCAGGAAAACATTATGGGATTAAATCCTCCCGCTGAAAACCAAGGCCTGGAGGTGCCTTTTGTGTCTCTGTCCTCTGAGGAATTTTTTTTTGGCATTTGCCATAAAATCTGGGAATGATTTGGTTTGGAAAGAACTTTGGGAAAGATCCAATTCCAACCCCATGCCATGGACACCTTCCACTGGACTGCAAGCTCCATCTAAGCTGGCCTAAATATTTAGGCCGAGCTTTAGTAGGTGCTGCTCCATCTGGGAATGTCGTGATGTC